AGGGGGTTGGAGGGGGTTGGAGGGGGTTGGAGGGGGTTGGAGGGGGTTGGAGGGGGTTGGAGGGGGTTGGAGGGGTTGACGGTCGAGAAGCGGACAGACAGGCAGACAGACAGATAGACAGGCAGGCAGGTAGGTAAGCATGAGAGTTCAAAAGAGAGAACGGAAATTTGGGTCCCCATCCCCGGGCTCCGAGGACGCACCCACTCCACTCCACTCCACCCCACTCCACCCCACTCCACTCCACCCCACTCCACCCCACTCCACCCCACTACCAGCCCCCGAGCCAACCCACCTTCCTAGCCAGCGTCGTCTCCGCCGTGGCCACCCCCGTAAAAATCTCGTCCACCTTCTCCGGAGGGAACCGGGGCGTGATGACCTTGTCAGCCGCCATGGCAGATCTGAACTGCGGCAGTGTCAGGTTCCCGAGCTGGTCGCCGCTGGTGGTGTTGTTGGTTGACCCGTCAGCAGATTGAAGCAGGAACATCATCTGTACAGCGCCTGTTGAAGGGAGGGCAAAACCATCAGGAACCCAAATCGGATCGCGACCCAAATTAGCACCCAGATCCTCCCGACCCGGCCGCAACATCCTAACACCCCTCTCCCCCCCTCACCCGCGTACTGCACCAGCAGCGCCTTGACCTTCTCCAGGTCCTTCTCCGCCACCGCCGCGTCCGCACGCATCAGGTCCGGCTCAATCAGAGCCCCAAGGCCCTCAGCCTGCAGGGTGCACATACAAAACCGCTAATGATGAGTAGTCAAGCGGAGGGAAGGCGGAGGTGGTGAAGCAGACGGAAATGGGTGTTGGTACAGTTGAAAATGGAGACATATATACATCGCTGTGGTGCCTTGTGAATGAGTAAGAAACGCTTCCGTTGTAACTTTTTGCGACCATCTTTCAACGCAATAACATCATGTGCGATCCTTTTGGAAAGCTTCCACACAGCAAAATGCGGAGGCGAAGCCTACAAATATAGGTAGTGCTGGCCAGGTCCGCGTGTGCGAATGTGTGCCTGCCTGTCTGTCTGTCTGTGTGTGTGTCTGTGTGTGTGTGTCTTTTGGGGAGAGAGAGTGTGTGTAGGGAAGCGCGGCCTGGATACATTTGATGCTGTTTTCGGGGTTCGGAGCGCACCTTGAGGTCTAGTTCTCGCAGCCAAGTGTCGTGTGGTGGGACCACTTCCACTCCGTCGCCCCAACGGAAGGGCGGAGTGCGGGGCCGACCCTCCCACCTGCGCAGCCGGGGGGGGGAGTTATTTGCAAAGTCTTTTCAAACCCTAAGTCAAGAAACCAGCGCCAGGCAGGGAAAGGCAGGGCAGGAGGGAGGGGTAATCACATGCGGGAAGCAGAAATCAATTGCAGGAGGGAGAAGGGTATGTGGAAGCAGGAAGGAAGAGGGTAGAGGCGGAAATGTAGAGCTTGGAACCCGCCATGTGTTGGTGGAGGTGTTGCGAGTTCACGCCGGCACTCCATGTGGTGGGGATGCAGATGAGCAGCGGCCCGGGGATAGGGACATTGGGGTTTCCCACTGGTCGGGTGCGATGACCGCATCATACCAGGTCAGCGTTCAGCCCGTCCCCGTCGCTGTCCCCGCGTCCCCGCCCTACCACATATCTTGGTATGCTGCCGTGGCGCCGTGTGCTGCCGGCGTCATGCCCCCAAATGCCCACATGGACGCCATGGATGATGTCGTATCATACCTGACTTTATACGGCACGGGGCCGTTGCTGAACTCCACGAACAGCTCGTCGCCATCGTTGAACATCTCATTGACAACAATGTCCACGTCCAATGGCTGCCCGTCTTTGTTGTTCACCGACTGCGGTACATACCTGCCGTACACCTCACCTGCAGTTCGGCGAGTAGGGGGGAAAGGCGGAATGAAGTCTGCGGCTTCCCCCGGATACGGGCAGTGTCTTACGGTGCCGGCAGCGTGGGACGGAGGTCGCGTGGGCAAGAAGCGGAGGGATAGACCTTTCAAAGGCCACTTTATGGTTTGAGGTCCTTGAGGGATAACTAAAGAGGCGGCAAAGTGGTGCATTGAGTTAACACGCATAGTTAATTTACGGGGAAATCGTCAACCCCACGGAAGGTTGCCTAACCCACCTCTTTTGTACGCCAGTCGGGAGCAAGCCGCATAACCAATCCATTGCAAAATTTGTTCTCCCTCCCCACAATAAAGGTCTATCGTTTCCTCCACTGTTAAGCCGCTTCCCAGCGGCGACATTTGCACCTGTCCATGGGCCACCCGGAAGCAAGTGATCGCCATCAGAGGTTTAATCTAAACGCTGACAGCGCAAATACAAGCTGAATCGGGTTAATTCCTTGTACTGATAACTGTCGGACCTTTAAGCGCATTTTGGTTGCTTCCTCAACTGAAACGTGGCACAATCCAAAATCCTTAATAAACCTATATCATGTTATGCAGCTCAAACGTAACACATAAAGGCCACGCGATATAGTCCTTCATACAAGGACGGTCGGTGAATCGGAAAGGCTCTATCTGTTCCAGGCGTTAAGGACCTCCGTTTAGTGATATGATAACTCGTGCTGTTGAATGCATTATTGCAAAGTAATTAAGTTGCCAACAACACAGGTGCATCTTCGCGACCTCGGTCGGTACGGCAGCGCGCCACGCGCTACGGATGGCGGATAAATCCATTTCATGGCACGCCAAGCAAGAGACAGCGCCAAGCCTTCACCATGCTGCTGGACACTGCTTTCATTCAAGTCATGTTGCAGTCGTGGCATGGCTACACGCTCGATAGGAACGCTGCCGCTCAGGACAGCTGTACTTTAAATCCAGACTCGCAGGACGCGCCCGGCTCGTTTAACTTAGCGAACGTGTTGGCTTGAGGTGCTTTCCAGCATCGGATGCCATGGTGTGCATCTTGCCTGCAGCACTTCCTGCACAGTATCACCCGCTGGCTTGGATAGGCGGCGCCTGTGCCCCCATTTCCCGAAACCCTCTTCGTGTCTGACCCCGCAACTATGCAGGGGTCTACTACCTACCGTAACAGTTTGCGCGTCGTAACTGCACGCCAGGAAAACGTGTAGCAGCAGGAAAACTATACAAAACATTCGTGGCAAACGGCAAAGCGATGACCAGTACCCGAACCAGGAACACAGGACATTAATACGGGACACTCGTCCTTCCCCTTGTCTTATCCCTTCTTCAAGCAAAACAACTAGCACACCGAAAATATTCAAACGTCCAGCACAAAGTACATACGTTTAAACACAGTAAAATTCCACATACTTAGGGTTGTGACTGACGAACGAAAATCTCTTCCCAAGGGAACCTGTCCCCCCAAAGGGAAAGAACACCCTAGGATATCCCCCATGATACATCCCTGCACCACTGTATGCACTCTGTTAACACTTGCGTTATCCCGGCCTCTAATATACACACATGCCGTCATCTGCATAGGAATGCTGGGGGAATGGTGACTCCTGTTGTTATCCTTTCTTGGTGCCGTGTCGTCTAGGTTTCTCCTCTGAATGAAAGAATGCCGAACGAAGAAGACCAACAAACCTCTCCCCCTATAGCCCAGTACAGGTAGTTCCAGTAACGCACTGGAAGTCCAATCGGCAAATCAGGTCGTGGTTAACCATGCCCTTTTGACGGCAAGGCCACCAAGGGCATCACCATTAGCGGGCACCCTGGGAATGCACAGTACCCAGGCCCCCAGGTGTTTCACACAACAAAAAAAACAATTACTGGTTTCATACGTATAACATCATTTCACGTATTCCGGCTTGGTCAGAAAACCGCAAGGATTTGGCCTTTGCCGCAACACCAGCTTCGAACCAGCTGGCAGTTGCCCAACGGTATCCCTGGTTGCCATGCATCCTGAATTCATGTTAAGCCCACAGCGGCCCGCAGCCTTCAACACCGGCACCATCCAAAGCAACCTCCAGGCAACAGTACGCAGCCACAGGGACTATATGGCTTAGAAGAGGCGAGTACAGAACCTTCCAGAACACGATTAGGACATAAAGCTATTAATAATAAAATTATAGACTCTACTACTCTTTCCCCGCTGCCTACAGATAGATTCTGTCTGCAAACCGGAACCCTGCGCTGCAGAACCCACCTACAGGTAATTTCACACGGCAGCAGGCAAAAACCTCTCCAAGAGCTCTCCAAGCTTCACAAGGCCTACAGCAGTCCAAGATCGTCCATACATAGCAAACCCAGGTCTCCCATCCGGTTGCATCGCTCAGTGTATATGCAACAGCCTGTACATATTACTGATATATCCAAGACCCCAGGCTCCCTGCACGGCAGCTAAAACTTTGCCGTAAAAGGTGCGGCAGTCGCCCGCCTATACTGACGACGGCTGGGTCAGATTGTCCTCGTTTCGCCGCGTCACGCGAAAATGGAGCCGCGGCCACCACTCACCAGACGCACCCTCGGCCTCCGCATGCACCGTGTTTCCGTGAATTATCACAATCTGGCCTGGCTTCATTTTCATGTGGACCATCTTGTACGTCGGCATAGCGTACAGGGCCGCAGCTTTGGCGGCCTGGGGGTTAATCTTCATGATGGCGTCGTAACCCTTGACAGCGTGCTGGCTGTATGGGGCCACGAGAATTTCACATGGCGTGAATGGCATGAAGCCAGCCAAGCCAGCTTCCCAGGGCGTCAGCTCCGTGCGACACGTTTCACTCCTGACCGGCGAGTCTCCCGGCCCGCCGGGGTGGTTCACCAGCACCGTAACCTGAGACACCCCAGCTCCCGACCCTGATGCCACCTCATTCAGCCAGGACGTCCCCTTCTTCCTGAAAGGCCGCAGCACTCGGTACAACTCTAGGCTGCGCGTGTACTTCTTGAAGGCGTCCTCGCCCTCGTCAAGGCTGGCCTCATGCTTCACCAGGTCCTCTGCATCACCCTCCTTGCCCTCCTCATCCTCCTCATCACTGGTGGCATCATATTCCTGGTCCTTGCCGTTGCGCTCTTTGGCGACCGGTGGCCCCCACGACTCCTTGGGACGTTCCAGAAACGCCTGCCAGCGCTGTGCCCCTTCACCGATCGTCATAGTGACGTGGTCGTCGCCATTCTTACCGTGCGCAAAACCCATATCCGTGCCCCTCAGCGGCTCACGAGAGAGAGCCTGGCCCATCAGCTCTGCAAACTCGATCGCCGCTGCCGCAGCACCGGATGACATGATGCGCTCCTCTAACTCCTTTGACACCCTAACGGCTACACCAAAGGTGTCCAGAAGTCGGCGGGATTGCGTGATATCGTGGGCAGCGAACAGCTCGGCAGGGACATCCTGTAGGTCAAAGGGCGTATATGCATGACGGGATTGGCAGCAATTATGTCCCAGCACCCGCACTGTGGTACAAGATTGCGGTAATGACAGAACAGGGAAGGCGACATGTCCATCTTCTGCACATTTACCTTGATTTATTCTATTCGGCCCTCCTTACCTGGCCGCTGTGGTGGATACTCAGTCCCGCCAGTCCCCCACTTGTAAACCATTTGCCGACAGGCACGATGTCCACCTGCTGCTCGGCGCGGCCTGGGCCATCACCCTGTTTGGGCACAGCGCACAGGTGTACATGAGTTGTCGTGGGTGCCAACATGAGGTGAGGGGTGCCAACATGGGGGGCGGTCCTTACCTCTGACGGCGCCTTCGCCGATGGGTTGGTCTTCGCTCGTTTTCGCGGAAGAGTAACATGGCGAGGGTTTTCACCCATCGACTTGCGCTCCGCTACCTGAAAATACAGTTGGGTTTTAGGGTTTTTAGGGTTTCATGCGGCGTATCGCTGCAAGCAATTGTACGCATCTACATGACATTAACAAATGATAGACGAATTGAGAATACCACAAATCAACCAACGGGAACTTCCCACACGGCCACAGAGCCCTGGACGGTCGCAAGGGTGAAGAAAACGTGTTTGCTGCCGGTCCATATCAATGAAATGGTTGGTGACACTACACTTGTGGATTCCCGAGAAAACTCTTGGTGAAACCCCAATCCCACACACCTGCCCAACGCGCAGGCCGCACGATGGTAGCGCCACGTTGCCGTCAGTACCGTGCTGGATGCTGTCTGGTTCCCCCACGACAGCAGCGCCCTGAGAAGGATGGCGAGGTGGGCGAGAGGCAATCATGTGATGCAAGATGAATAGGGTTGCATAGATTATTAGAACGGCAGGCGTTCTCTACTAATTCTAATATTATTTCTAATTAGAACGTTAGAAATAATATTAGAAGACCTGGGGTAACTTCTCAGGGAGGGGGACTTTTCACTTCGGAGTTTCACCATGGTTACGGCAGATGCTAACCCAGGTGTTTTTAACGGTTTTTACGGGGCTACGACACCCGTAAGCAGGACTTCTCAGCCAAACCCCCGGTCGAAGTGACCTCTGGGTCACTAATTTCGCCTTTAAACTGTCTTAGACTGTCTTAAACTGTCTCTGCGTACGCCTTCCCAACATCTTTGGTACCTGAACCAAGAGTCCAGTCCTAATTGTCTGCAAAGCAACACCCAACACACAGTCACTGGCAATACACGCAAGCCCCTCCCCAGCCGCACACTCTTTCTCAACCTCAGAGACTGTTTCCGCGTGCGCCTCATCAAGCATAGTGGTTGCTAGTTTCCAGCGGCTGGGCAGTGTGACCCCCAGGGCAGCGCAGGCCTGAACGAGGTAGGGGTTCTCGATAAGGTGAAGGGCGATGTTGGTGGTGTAGAAGAACAAGGCCAGATTCTTCAGGAAGACGTATAGCTGGTTGGCAGATGGCATGAAAAGCCGCATGGACGGAGTGGGCGTGCCGTCATATGAGCGAGACCTTTTCGCGCCGGACGGCACTGCAGGTGTGGCGCCCTCCGCCTCGCTGCCCTCCTGTGACGCCAGCGCCTGCGCCTTGCCTGCTGCCTTGCTGTGCTTCTTAAGATGGTTGGGAGCTGTTGCAGACGGATTTTTGGCACCCAGCACCTCGCCGCAAATGGCGCACTTCAGCTTCACGACTCCTTCTGTCAAGATCACGGTGAAAAACGACCACCAGGAAGCACTGCCTCTCGCTTTCGCACTCTTCAGGGCTTCCGCGTAGGCTGGAGCGTCTAGCTCCTTGTTGCCATAAGTGTATGTTGCTTTAGGAGTCTTCGAAACTGGTGGTTTTGATGGCCCAGCATCAGCATCAGCCATTTTTCCTAGAAAAATGTGCCGTTGCAGGCTGCGGAGGCGGTCTGAATAGCCATTCTAATGGGTGTACGACATTAGAACGTTCTAATCTGTTCTCAAGGGGTCTTCTAACTTTCTCATTAGGATTCTAATTAGTTTAATTCTAATATTATTTCTAACTTCTAATGCGCCTGCAACCCTAAAGGTGAAACAAAAGGTCGACAACTGTCGACATCCAAGGCAAAGGAAATTGTGGGGGGAGAGATGAAGCAAGTGTGCGACGCGGCCTCCGTGTGGACACTTTCAAAGTACGGGCTGGCAGCGCAGTTGTAGGATCAGGACTAGAGCGCTTGACGATAGTCCGCCTAGTCTAGTCCGCCTTGCACGAGGCACTGGCTGGTTAAAGGGAACACCTACCTGCAGCACGTAACCGGGTGCTGATGTCGAGGCTCCCGGCACCAGTGCCCACGGAGTACATGTTGAGGCGGCCCCCGGCACCGCTTCTTTCAAGGAAGGAAGCTGGGCGAGTTGGATGGCGCCTGCACCGGCCAAGCTGGTGATGGTCGCACCAATACCTGCTGCTTTTGACTTCTTGAGCTTCTGCACAGGTAGAAAGATTTACAATCATTTTTTGTGTGATAGACTGGCGTACATTCGCGTCAACCCACCCTGAGCTTCTCGTTTGCGTACCGCACCCAGGCTGCCTGTGGCCAGTGGAAGTTATAGAAGATCTGTGGGGGTTCACGCTCGTCGTACTGCAGGCCTTGCACCTTTCCGATCACGGCCAAGTCGGTGGGGGGTGCTGCCGCATCTGCCCGCCTCCAAGCCTCCTCAAGTTCTGCTTCTGGGGAGAGATTTCCCAATTTACTCAGCTCGCTCACGACGTAGAGTTTCGCACCGTCATCTAGGAGCTTGGAAAATTTCTCCCTGTCGGCTTTCATGTTAAGCCCCACGAGATGCCCCAGCAGGGTGACCTTTGATATCAAATGACTTTTTGTGAGTTTTGATGGAAGCCGCCAATCAGACCAAGCCGAGGGGGGGGAATAAACTTGCCTTGCCATTCGCATCTATAAATTTGGTGTCAAAGATACTGGCTGGGGACGAATCCCATGGCGCTAGCGCCCGCTGCCCTTCAAACTCAAGGATTGCGCGCGGCGCTACTGGCAAGTTGGAGATGAAGCAGGAGACCGCATACAATCGCCTCCTGGCCATATCCTTTGCTTGCCTCCAATTGCAAATTGCATCCCTCGCTGCCTCAAATAAACTGGCAAATGTTGGCGCCATCAGGGCGTAATTTCCGACATTACACCTCAGTGGCTCGAGACGTATGAGACTCAGGACGGCGAAGCATTTCATGCATAGCAAGCCATACATACGGTTGAGAATTTGACCTGGAAACCGCACATGCCACCGTCGTGCACGATTCTGGGTCGTGTACGAGACACGTAAAGAAATCCTCACATCCGGAAACCTCGCAATTGCCACTGCATAACTTTAGGGCACAACATGTCTTTTAGTATTGAGTAAGCAGACCTTGTCTCTCGCGGAGGCAGTCAAGGCCATATATCCATTGGCGATTATGCCGGAAATTAGCAACTGATCCCGCCGATGTCAACTCGCATCCTAGGCAACCATTAAGAAATTTCTTCAGCCTTCCAGATGCTTCATCACCGCTTGGGTATGCTGCGCTGTACGACAGTACGGCAGCTACATCGCAGCACATACTTTCCGCTCGCGTTAGGACTCTAAGGTAGCAGTCATTTTATGGTGTAATATCCGCTCTGCTAATGTACGTGGGCATATGTGGGTAGGAGGTGTTGCTTTTTAACGTTGTAGAATTTCACTCGTACGTTACTGTAACTTCGTGTTGCTCTAGAGCAGCCCTTTTAAAGTCCATTTGCATGTCATGTGTGCCTGTATGCCTTGAACGTTTCGACAGGTGCAAAGTTCCTGCCGGAGCACACAAGTGCCGACGTGTCATCGTGCTTTTGAGAATCTTACACTCTTCCACATTTATATACGCAACCAACTTGACATTGCAACCGGCGCAACAAATAACCGTCAACGATTTTCGCGCTAAGCCGCATAAAAAAGCATTTGACAAAAGAAAAAAAGAACCCGCGTCCGAAATGTACTAGGAGCCGGATAAGTAATTGCTGCACAATCACTTTGGCAACGAAACTGAAATGTGCACCTTTTTCCTTCTCTGGCCCTAGCCCGCTCCCGAAGCCAATTTTTGGTGTAGAGGGGCCCTGCCCTGAGGTATGTTTCGCCTGTCGTACAATCGATCTCTGTTACACCAGCACCTTGTCAATGACATGCACGACCGCCTGCGGTTTAGTCCAAGGGAATGACCCGGGGGATTGCTTGTCAGGAGGCGTCAGGAAAGGGAGGAAATTATACTGGTCAAGTCAAGGCGGAGGGGAGCGAGGGAGCCACGTTCGGAGAGGTGCACGCAGATCTATAGTTTGCCAACATGCTAGCTAGCTTCAGCGGCTGTCGATTCTAGAACTTGTAATATGCATGAAAAGGGGCGAGTGAAAAAACATGTGAACAGCACGTCGACACGCCTACACGTGGGGTACCTTCCTTGACTCCAGAGTGCAGCAGCAGGGCAGGAGCTAAGTGTACGACATCCCTCGTGCACTTGCCTGGTTGAAGGGGATGTCCGCCCTGGTCAACTCTGCTGTACTGTTGGTGTTTTCCACACGCACTCGAATCGTCCGGCTGGTCGTAATTCCCGTGGTTGTACGAGTGCATGTATGTATGTATATATGTATACATGTATGTATGTATGTATGTGGATGTGGATGTAGATGTGCAATGAGTGTCGCCACAGGTGGGGAGGGAGAAGGAACAGCAGGGACGCGGGTGAACCCAAGGACGCTTCTCGTGCATCAGGGGATGTCCATTCGGAGGGGATAAACGTTTTTGTATACTGGTGTGCAAGTGCAACATCATCAGCATCAGCATCATCACCATCATCATCAGCAGCAGCCTCCCCCCAAGCAAGGGAGAGAGAAAAGAGGTAGAGAAAAGAGTGAGTGATCGAGAAAGAGAGAGAGGTTGAGGGAAGTGAAGGAGAGAAATGGGGGAAAAAGAGGGAGGAAATAGATTCCCTGGGGGTAGCCAGGGGCCGCAACCCCCACAGCGTTTTCCGACCCGCTCTCTCCCCGCCCCGTGGCCTTGTTTGGACATGCAAGCAAATCCTATGACCCAAAACGCCACACATCGCTGTGCTGCAGCCCCCTTCCTCCTACCCTTCCTCCTTTCTATGCGCACGCCACAGACAACATCCGTTGCTGTCTGTCCTCCAAACCCCCCCATTCCACCCCAACTCCCCCACACCCCACACCGAGCTCTCATCGCCCCTTGGCTCCTCGCAGCTTGCTAGCCTTGATTCGGCCCTCCTGCGCCAGTCCCCCTCGAGGCACAAACTGGGCCACACGCGCTTCCGGCTTCCATTGCAACATGTCAGGGCCCTTCACGGGGTCGTCGGAACCGGGTAGCGGCACAACCCGCCGACCGTGGATACCAGTGTCGTCAAATGCGCGCCGGTACTTGGCCTGCTCATCGCCCGTCAACGGTTTGTACGTCATGTGCACGTACAGATCTCGCCGTCCGTCAAATCGGTTGGGAGCTGGCAGTTCAGGGAAGGATTTCTTGCCTTTAGGGCCCAGATCGTCGATGGGGGGAGCCTGCCCGGAGATGACGGCAGCCGTGGTGGCGTCTTGGGCTGGTGGCAGCGCGTAGTGGTGCTGACGTGGGGGCAGGTCGCAGTACGGCGGCGGTACGGCTTTATCGAAAGCTTCGGGCCGGAAAGTGGAGCCGTGTAGAACTTGAACTGCTGCGGGGCTGCTGTGGAGCGCGCGGCGTCCTTTAGCGGGGTCTATGAGCCTGAAGGGGAGTTGCCGGGGGGAGGAAAGGGAGGGAGGGATTAGAACGGGATTGTGCGGGATTGCGGCTCCCCCCGGGAAGCAAAGACGATTATGCTGGCTGTGTAATGGAATACACATATGACATGGTGGACAATGTCCGGTGGCAGTTGGTTGTTGGCAGTTGGTGCTGGATGCGCACCCCTAAAGTGCTAGAAGGTGCTCTTGAGGTGGTGCGCGCAGTGGTGGCAGGGTTGTTGCTGGTGGTGGTGGCGGTGGTGGTGTTGATGGCCAATGATTAAACCTAGCTGTTGGTGCTGTTCGGTACACACAAGTCCCTGAACCCAATCTCTTCATCTCAGCGCTTCCTGTTTCCCACCACCCACTGCATCATCCTGCCTTGCTCCTGTGTTTTACTAACCTTCCCCCCCTGCTCCCCCCCTTCCCCAAGCAGCAAGTTTAATACTCCTTTTCAGCAGCATTTGCATGCGTTTTTGTATTTATCATTCGCTGCTCAACTCTCCCACCTCTCTGCCTCGCATGTGCCTTTGCCCGCTGCTTCTGCTGCCTGGCCAGGTGAGTCCAAAGGGTGGTTCGAGCTTCTTCGGTATTTCGTGTTGGCGTCGGTCGGCTAGCCGGACTAGGATAGCCGGGTCGGTCGGGTCGGTCGCGCGTTTTAGTTTGGGGGGCTGGGAGGAGCACTTGCATACCGACAGCCTTTCAGTACCAGCAAATCAGCTAATTCTCCAGGCCAGCAACTTTATGCCAGCTTTACGACAGCACTGCTTTACTACTTTTCCGCCGCCTTCACACCTACTTTTCTACACCTGCTTCTCTATGGCTTGGCAATACTATTTCTTCTGCTTTTTTAGTCCTGGCGGCTTAGGTAGGTAATCTTTACGACATCTTCTTCACTTCGTCATCCCGAGGTCGCGGTCTTCACGGACGCCTTTCGGTCAGTTCTACGTTTGATACACTCTTGCCCTGGCAGCAGCTTCAATCGTGTGTGGTTCGTCTTTCCCCCCCTTCCCCCGCCCAACACAGCGCCACCGGACACCGCAAGCTTCTTACTTGTTGGTGACTCAGCAGGCGCCCAAGCAGGTGGTGCAGTTTCTGGCGGCGGACAAACCGGAGGACTTTGACGTTGGCAGTACAACCACACACAGCGCCCGTGCATCGACGCCTTTGTCCTGCCAGACAGGCTGCTGCAGATGACCATCGGCAGCACATGCAAAGCCATCAGCGAGGAAATCCTAGAGCGCCATCTTCAGTGCCTGGCCCCCCGGGACATGTATTACATTGTGCCTGCAAGAAGCAGCTTCCAGACCTTCAAGGTGCCCAATCTGAAGCAGGCTACAGAATCAGGCGTGGTGATGATGATTCAGTGAGTAGTGAATATCAACTGCATGCAGTAGGGGCAGCATCATTGCTACAAACGCTCTGTTGCTCAAGAGGTCACCTGCTGCCAACACTCAGGGTGCATTTCCAGTGCGGATTAACGTCGCGGATTAACCCTCTCTCCTCCATCGATACTTGCTCAAACGGATAAGTTGTTGGCAAACTTACCTCCCCTTTTCAACCTTTGGTTCCCTTATGGAATGAAACTATGTGGTAAGCTCGTACCAAGGACTTCTGTGCCCTAATCCAAAATACACCCTCATTGCTGCGCAAAAACCAAACCCAAGCCTCAAGCATAAAAGCCCGTTCCAATGATCGTTCAGCTGTATGCATGAAGCTCTGGCAGCTGAAGATGTGGGCTGCAGGAGGGCATCGGTGGTTGTACGGGTTGGTGCATTCAGCCTTCTCCATTCCTCTTGCCCGTTCCAGAACAATACAACAGCAACTCACTCCCTAGCAAATAACTGCAGAGTTCTCTCAATTGGAACGCATTTACTAATGTTAAGCTTACAATCTTTGTCCCTCCGCAGCAGCCATGGAAGCCATTAGAGAGCAGCTGCAGCGACTGAATAGTGAGGTTGATGACGAGAATGCGAAGCTGGGAGATGTGGTCAAGCAGCTCCACAAGAACCCCCAGGGCGAAATCCTAAAGCTCGAGTACAGTCGAATTGTCCAGACTCTCGCAGAATTGAGGGCCTGCCGGAAGAACCTTGAGGATAAACTGCAAGGTGAGATCTTGATGTATCATGAACCGCACCCGTTTATGGATCCAAGCCCGCCACGATTGCATACGATTGAGACGCGCATATTGTACTTTCAATCGCTAGTTCAGTGTACACAGTTGTAAAGCACATTATGATAAAAGAGACCGCTTCTGGAACTTGTGAGGCTAGGTCCTTTCCTTTTCTTGAGGTGGTAAGCCGAGCGCCGAGCGCGCCAGTCTAAACACAACACCTACTGCTTATTAAAGAGACTAAGCGCTGTTATATTCTTTATGCTCGTCTGGGATCTGCCGATTCCGTTTGCAATAACGGCCGTGGTGCGTTCACCTCGCCCGCACTTGTGCTCCCCCTACCAGCTACCACTGTGCGCTGCAGGGTTTTCACTGTCTCTGTTGCCTCGTTCGACTACAACCCTGAACCCTGCATGACGAGTGCCGCAATTTGCAGCCGCTCCTTATCAAGCCCCCGCCCCTGCGTGAAAGCACTACCCACACCCGATCCGATATTGCACATAGTGTCAAGCTACATTAAAGCATAGCCATTGCTTTTGTTGTGACAGCAAGTCACAGCCGCTCCTCTATAGAACGGTGCTTTTAAGATTTGTGGTTTCGAGTATACTGGACACACAACCTTTCTAGCTCACAGGCATGAGCTACAGCTTGCTGGCCCCTTAGCGCATGCACATGGTTGTGTTGCGTCCATTTTACATGCCTGACCCTGCTGGGAACACAGACCTGCATGTTGTACTGTGGAGGCTATGGTTAACATTTTCCATGGATGGTCACAGCACTGTGTATGTTACATATGCAATACCCATGTGGGGCCTGAGGTTTGACATGCACATGATGGGGTGTTGGGAGTGTCAGGTCACATGCTGTGAGTGTGGAACCTCCATTATTGTGCGGCAGCACTCCCAGGCACCTTGGTGTTGTTGTGAAGCACATCATCGTTGACCACTCGTGGAAATAAACTGCTGCTGTCTGCGAGTATTTCCGTGGACCCCACCCCGCATTTTTATCATGCACGGTTTGTGTTGAACTGCTGGCCTGCATGGTATGCACCTTCCGCCTGCCTCACTTTGTGCAGGTGCTGCTGCTGGTGCCGACCCACAGCGCTTGGGAGCTGGTGCTGGTGGTAAGTTTTCTTCTATTTGCTGCTATCATAGCTATGTGGCTCTCCGAGGCACATTCATTACCTGACAGGAATTTGTACAGATTTTGTAGTAGCTTGCCACTGAAAAGGCCTTTTAGCAAGTATATGTAGTTGTTCAAGCTGCTGTATTGTGTACCAGCTACTACAGACTTGGGCAAGGGTCCAGCATGCTTTCTTACCTAGTAGCATGTTGTGGCTCATTCCTCAACTGGGGCCATAGACTTCACAACCATATGAGCTGATCCAGTGAAAGTGTACATCAAAACAGTGCAGTGCTGTCTCACATCCGGGGCCCACAACTTGCACTTGTCTAGCTTACCTAGATCAAACATAGCGCCTCTTGCAGACTAAACATTAAACGGCTGCATGTTTGGAGCTGTTTGTACTTTTTAATCAAGTGCAGTTTACATAGCCATGTTGGTACCAGCTGTTCTTATCAGCCTGGCCCTGGTGGTCTAAAATCATCCACAATTTGCTTGTCTATTGTGTTTCCAATGCTGCATTCACAGGCTCTGCTGAGTCCACCCTCCTAGAAGCAGTGAAGAAGCTCGTTGAGGAGGTTCAGGAGGACAACAAAGAAGCAGTGAAGAAGCTGGAGAGGCAGAATAAAAAGATGGTGAAGAAGACCACAGCTCTTCTGGAGAGGGAGATTGTCGCCTTGGGGTTCAGGGCCACAGGTTCATCACGACCCCCTACATCAGTGAGTGTACAGCTGCTAGTCTTCAGTAATTATATGAAAGGATGGTGAGGGTTTCACAAATCCAAACACAACTGTGTCATTGTATGCAGGTGTACCGTGAGCCATGCATGGCTGCATACAATGGGGCAGACTATGCACAGAAGGAGCATCTTCAATGTCTGCTGACTGGCAGGGAGTTCCCAGCCAGGAAGGTGAAGGGAGGACATATTTTCCGTCTTGAGTGGAGGAATCGGCAGTTGCTGGTGGGTGGACCTTAGCAGGGTCTCATGGGTATAAACATCCATGTGGGTATGAAGTCAGTATATATGCTGATGTATATCCATGTTGTATCTGGCTGTGCAGGCGAAGGCGGGGCTGGACATCAATGGCCCAGAGAATGTGATTCCCATCTATGACACAGTGGAGGAGATGCTGGATCAGCAACGTATTACTATTGAACCCACTGCACCAGGACCCCCCATCTTCACAGTGAGTCTTTAAAATGGCTGCCATAGCAGGAGAGCCATCACCAATCACCACAGTCATCACCTGTAGTAGCTGGCTGCTGAAAAAGTGTTTAAGATGCTGGTGGAGCACTTCATGTGTATTTGTAGTTGTTTGAGGTGCTGTACTGTGTACCAGTCATCCACATCCACACTTTGTTATGTTTTCATGATGCCCTTTGCTATGCAGGTGCGCGTGCTGGACAAATCACTGCTGCAGCCAGGGCAGTGGATCGTACACACTGATGATGTGCGCATGCTGTGGTCAGAACTAGATGGCCGGGTCCTTGACTTCGGGGGCATGGACTTTGGTGACAAAGGCCCTCCACTATCAGCATTGCTGTGTGCGATTCATATGCGTGCAGCATTGCTCACGGCAGAGAATGAGGAATGGATTGAGAAGGTGGGTACGATGAACACTTGTCATGCATGTACTTGCAGTTTGGGGCACTAAGACAAAAGCTGCACAATATGCTGTGCAGGGTAGTCTCAAAGTACCCAGCTGGGCGCAGCAGCTGGCCAACTTTCCTGCAGCAGGCTTAATAGAAAGCTTCCTGCGGTCTGCTGCCCAGTCTGCCCTGGCTTCCCCAGCTACCACACCATCTGATGATGAACCTGTTTTGAGCAGCAGCAGCAGCAGTGCTTAGCACTTTTGGCTGGACACAAGCATGGATATTGTCCTCTTTGTCACCCAAGCTCTCCATGCTGGGCTCTGGAGCCAGGAGTTGGGAATTAAGCTGCAACTGTCCAGCCCAAATCCTGTCACCACCTGCCAGTATGCAGATGACAGATTAGGCATGTCTTCTCTGCAGGACTGGGTTGCTTGGTGAGGGACTAGGTTGAGAATGGTGCAGTAGGAGGCAGGGTGAGTAGGTTCTGGAGGACCAGCTGTTCTGGGTTAGTGACAGTAAATGGAAGGCACCGCACAGGCTACTATCCTCCCCCTGCGGTTTTGTAGAAGCCCTAGGAGCTGTGTGTTGTGGCAGTGTTATCCCTTTTGTGGCCTTGCCAGTCTATCTTGGGCACCTGCAGTGTTGATGGGGCTTGTGTGTGGTCCTTTTTCTTTAGGTGGCTACTTCTCCCCTGGACCAGCCCAGGAAGGGAGAGGTAGAGAAGGTCAGTTGTTGTGAGGTGGCTGCAAGGCGTCTTGTGGTTTCAAGCTCTCTTTAAGCCTTTATTTCTTGGAGGTGTTTTTTTAGTGGGTTGTTAGGTGTATCAGGAGCCTTCCCCTGTCTGGGCTCCCCTAGCCACCTTTTGTTTTTTTGGTTTTTCCTTCCTTTGGGTTCCCTTTGTTGTTGGTTGTGTTATGGGGGATTGTTTCAGAGAGCTTTTGCCTTTGCCCCAGGTGAGACTTGTGGACTCACTCTAGTGGGACCTGAGAGCCTGTTGTGTTTTCACTGCAGCACCATCCCTGGATGGAGGTGCTGCAGGGTGACTGCATCATTTGTTGGCAGTCTGATTTGGGGCTGGGAGCACACAAGATTAACCAACTTGTGCTGTGTGCTCCTGACCCTTGTGCTGTGTTTTGGGTTCGGCCCCTGTCTCTTGTGGCCCACAGTGTAATCTAAGTCGTACATATGCACATACATGCATACATACTATACATGCAAATGGGTTTCCTTTACCCTCCTAAGATGTCATAATAGCCTACACAACGATATCTAACATACATATGTATGCACAGACAAGGCGACATGACGCACACAACTTTGAGAACAGACAAAGACCAACATGCCTTGAGTACACTGTCTATGGTGGATTTCATAAGCCATTAATTAATTAGCTGATAAGCTATCGGCTTGGAAAGTCTTGCTCAACTGCTCACAGGCTAACGGGTCATGCAGGGCAAATAACTTGGCCAGCATGTACACATTGCTTAGCTACTTGTAAACTGCTCGCCCTTGCGGCCAGTGCTTGTTGTATTCACTATGACAACGGGTGGTCGTGTTAAGTCGCGTTAAATTCGCGTTACGAGGCTTTAACACGAGTTTAACACGACGCTAACACGATATAACACGATTTTAAGCACTGACAACGCACCGGTTCGCTTGTGTGTATGGCCTAACGCACATCATCTTCATTCGCATGAGAACGAGCTGAATAATTTTGGCTGGCAGTGCGCAAACTTTACACGCGATCGTAAACGCGACCAGGTGACTTTTAACGCGAGCGTATCGTCAAACGCAAGGGATTGCGAATGGCATACACGACTGTGAATCTTGTGAATGCATGTGCGTTTTTGGCTATAATGTATGCATTCGCAAAATTTTCACAAACCTTAATACTACCAATTTACTTTAAGGTAGAGGCCAGCATTGCATTCTGGTCCATTGGTTACACATCCCCTCGTTAAGCAGAAGCGGATCCTGTGACGCATATGATGCGTGTAGCCCCACGGGAGATACTTATGGAGGAGGAGGGGGAGTGTGTGGTGAGGATTCATGCGGTAGTAGGTTTGCGTACGTGTGCGTGTAGGGGAAGAGGAAGTAGTGCTGTGAGGGGTGAATGATGGCCGGATGTGACAGACACACACACACACACACACACAGAAGAAGAGGCAACGAAGTGAACGAATGCTACCACTACATTACATATTTTCATCCAGTTATATTTGTAGGAATGCCATTATGTATCGCTGTAGCTGTCCGTCGCCGGAGGGCCAACCGACGACCCACGGCACCCGATCGGGCGGTCCTAGCGCCCCTAACCCTGTCGGATCCCCCGACGGGAGCCCTCCGTTTGGCGTTTTCCCCCTTTTTCGTCGGGTCCGCCCGACAGCATTTTTGAAAGCCTGCCGGGATTTTCAGCACAAGTGCCATTCCTGTCGGGACCCGATCGGACTGTCCCACCCTGGAGGCCCAAGTGGGAGGCCCAAGGTTCGAGCCCGGCAGAGCTCGATGTATTTTACTTGGAAATGGTAATCCGGGTTGCAGCGGAAACAGGTTGGGGACTGCATCGTCTGGTAGATTTCCGAATGGAAACTTTTTCCGATTCCCTGGCACGCACCATGCGGTTTGCGAGGGTCGGGGAAAGACCTAACCTCACCCTCACCCGCCGCAGCGTCTGACGCGCCCTTGGGTTGCGGCGTGTCCCTCGTCTGAGGCTCGCCATCATGCGCCCACGAGGCCCTTCGCTTCCACCGCCGTGTTGGGAACATGGTGAAGCAGGCACAATAACAAAGTGCAACCTTCGCCACTGAGGCACGCACTGAGTTGGCGCGTTTTCGTTCATGTGCGCACATTTCATGCACATGCATAGATAGTTCTGGCACTGTTTGTGAACAAAAAGTAAATCCGACCAAGCAAAGGCCCAAAGCAAGCAACCGCATAGCAAATCAAAGGCCGTCACCCGCCACTGCAAACCACTGAAAATTTTCAGGCTTATCTTGCTGTTTTGGTGTTTGTTCGGCGTTCAAGTCGTTGCCTTTTGCGTGTTTGGCTATGTAAGGACCGGTCATACATTCTGCTATGCCGCGTTGACTCACGGGCTTGACCTTCTTACGGCCCCTCATATCTATTCTATGATCGATAATACTAAGCTCTGCACACTACGGAGCAATCTGGCAGCAATGGACGTTTTTGACTGGAGGAATGAAAATGTACGGATCGGCCTCAATTCATTCCCTTTTTCCAAAGGCCAAAATGGCCTCTTTATTCCTTATAAGGAATATATTACTTAAAAAAAACACTGATCCCCGGGTGATTGCGGTGGATTGAGTGATCTCTTGCGCAGATGCTTGCACTCCTGTTCGTCTAGTACTTCCTAACTCACAAAAACACACTTGCGCTGCCGTTTTAAAAGCTTGCTGGAGAATTTTCATTTTAGGCGTTTCCATCCCAAGGATAAAGAGCCGCGATACGCAGTTTTGTTATGTTTTTCCAGCGTCGTCCCAAACCCGCAGCTGTCCGCGCAATCAGCCCACCACGAAGCCAGAAGACTCACCTCCTTGACACCTTCCCCCTCCTCATCCTTACCGTCGATACCCTTGCCTCCACATCCGCCGCACGCAGCCCTACAGTGTCGGTATTGCCATCCTTGGCACAATTGGTTCGCTGGGGCATTTGTCGGAAACAATGTCGCCACTTGACATTTGCAGCGCCCGCGATTTAGGGGCCAGCCCAAGGGGGGAATTGCTGCAGCGGCTTACTATCTGTTAGATTGTGCACGAAACTCGTAAATCCCTACACTAGTACAGCCATGAACATCCTCATGTATACAACTTGCATCCGTGTAGCTCGTGTGAAGCTTTCTCCCCGGGGACGGAAACACACACTGCCTGCTGATTACAACACAGGCACTAAACTGCCATAGGGACTGCATTACAATATTGTACTGCACAACATCAGGTCATCAACAGTTCCCATGTCTCTTCTTGGTCGCATACGAAAAAAGACCAGGTACGTTGACCAGCAGAGGGCCCAAATCACATACTTCGGGTGCGCCACCTGTATGCATTGAAAGCTGATGATGGCGCCTCCGGTCGTGAGCCGCAACAAAGCTGCCGACGATCCCCATTCCATCCCCCCACGGAACTCTGATCGTGGAAAGAACATGATAAGGAGTTCTTGCTCATTCAGAAGGATCGGGGCCCCACAGCGGTCCTCATTTTTGCATAAATGTACTCCCAAATATGCATCAGCATCGATGCCGAGGGACTGGAGTAATTCCCCACGCTGACACGCCCTATGCTACTGAGCCACACCAACCAATCTAGCATGCAATAGACAGCGAGCAGCAGCACAAAATCATCTATGATCCCATCCAGGTAGAATTCCTTTTCGGTCACAATCCAAAGGGTGCCGTAAAATGTTCCCCACGAAAAGTCAATGTAAAAGTGCCACAGATATACTGGCCGTTGCCCGCTGGGTGGTGCTCGTGTCACCCGGCCATCCCGTCCGATCCCCCCTTTCCCAAACCAGATACGCGCAAAGATACGAATTGGAAGACGGACCAGGGTTGCCCAATCGCATCACACAGCGATGATGAGATGCACCGGAAACATCACAGACGATGCCTGAGACCCAGAGTTACCCATGTGCCGTGCTTTTCCCGCACCCCGTCCCAACCCTTACACGACCATCAACCAAGCAGGGGGCCAACGGACAAAAGCAACGCAGATGTAAAGGTTGCACTGTCCCTCGCTGAACTTCCGTATCGACAAAACGAGCAGCGGTACTTCCCGACAAACAACAGCTCGCCCCGCAGCAGCGCCAGTCGGTGAGTTCTCAGCTTCCAGTCTACTGCTACGGCATGATCCTGACAAGAACGAGCGGTTAAGTTGCGGGACAGCTGCGGCTCCATGAGCTTAGCTGCTCCTGCACGCGACCATGCCATCGCTGGTATCGAGCCAGCGGCTCTGAAAACAGCTCCTCTCCCTGCCTTAACAATTGGACCAGCTCATTAACCGCCTGCGTCGCCACCCAGCCACGCTAGTTGATTTTGTCCGCACAGGACGCAAAAAGCTACAAGGGCTGTGGAGCCATTGCATGTGAGGCAGTGGCTGTCTTCGCGCAGCTACCTGAAGTCGGAAGGATGACCAGGTCACTGGCCCGGAGGCCGCATTCCAGGTGGCATGCCCGGAGGCGGCATGCCGGGCGGCGGCATACCCGGAGGCGGCACTGCAAAAGGAAGAAGAGACGAGGAGAGACGTGGTAAGGATAGCTCAACAAGGTGACGACACCGGCCAGGGTGAGGTACACCATGGGGAGGAAATAGACGTTAAAAGAAGCCTGATACAAGTATTGCACTGTTTACCAGCACTTGCGATAGAAGACGACAGGTGTTCACCCTCGCCATTAAACTGCAGGGACTGCCCAATGGAACACACTAAACTGGTGTACATGCAAAACCACAGATGTCCCTCCCTCAAACCGAGGCACCAGGTTGATTGGCAAGCAACCACTTACTTCCAGGCCTTGGCGGCATGCCCGGAGGGCCCATTCCTGGCGGCATCATGCCCGGTGGCATCCCCGGTGGCGGCATCCCCGGCGGTGGCATTCCCGGCGGTGGCATCATGCCCGGACGCGGTGGCGGCATTCCCGGTGGCGGCATCCCGGGCGGCGGCATTCCCGGCGGCGGCACTGCAAGATGCATCGACAGCGGCAACAACAGCACATGCCACAAGCATAAGACCAGTAACCGTCAACCAACTGAAGTAACTCCCGGGAACTGCACACCACCATGTCAATAAACAGGAAGCCAACAAACGCTCCGCAAGGTTTACAGATAGCACACACACACACACACACGCGCGCACGCAAACATCCGAGGCATTTGTCCCAGTAAGGCCCCAAACAAAACGCCAGACACGGCTCCACTGAATCAAACCCTACAGCACCACTGAGCCCGTTTCCAGTCCTTCGTTGCTGGCGAGCCGAAGCTTCACCCAAAGTTCCTCCCCGCTGGCCCTTGACTTACTCCCTGGCCTCGGCGGCATCCCTGGCGGCGGCATCCCGCCCGGTGGCGGCATCATGCCCGGAGGACCCACTGCGACGCGGGAGTAAGGACATCACACTTGTTGGTGCGATACCACATCACGCCAAAGACAAGCCCCAAATTCGTCTACCAGCGACCTAGCGATCATCAAGAACAAAGCCTGTGCCATGCAGCTGCGCAAGCACGTTAAACCCACATTCATGGTCCGGACTTCAAGTCAAAGACGTTGCGGCTGCTGTGCCCAAATAAACACAGCTCAGCGTATGACGCCTTTAGGATAGAAGCAAAGGAACCTGGCCCAAGTCAGCCCTCCTGACTTACTTCCTGGTGGTGGGGGCATACCCGGTCGCGGCGGCGGCATGCCCGGGGGTGGCATGCCCGGCGGCGCCATGCCTGGCCTGGGCGGCGGCACGCCGGGCGTTGGAGGGCCGGGCCGCGGCACCGGGGGGGCCGATACTTGCGGTCGGGGCATCATCATGCCCGGTGCAGGCCCGCCAACACCGCGGGCAGGGCCGGCCAGACCCTGCAAGGTGCGGTTGGGCCTGGCGATTAGCGGACCCCATACTTCTCCAGTGCAATGGCCCACAAACCCAGGCCGACCGGCAGCATATCGAAACCAGTAGCAACATAGCAAATGTGTCCTGGTTAGCAGCTATTGTGTTGCGAGCCTAACTCAGAAATCTGTGTGACTTGGGTAGCGCAGTAGATCGTTTGTGGCCGAATGGATGGCCGAATGGATGACGCAGATAGCATAGGCGAAGCACATCGTCGGGTGACAACCCCAGGCAACCCCAATCGTACCGCTGGTGCTTGGCCAGGTGCCGCTGCGGGCATGCCGCGGCCCACAGCTCGTGCAACGCCGGGTCCACCCTATGACGCATGAGGTGAAACGGATTGTACGGGGGGACAGGAAGGAGAGAATAGATGGAAGAATGTTGGAAGCGTGTAACGTCAACGCCGGGAGCTTCGGGAAAGGGTGGTTCACGTATCTCACGCAAACCAATGGAAATAGAAGGAGCACTTACCGGTGCAACTTGTGACCTATCTGTCCGCATTTCCTCATTGGGGGGTGGGCCTTCAATGGTCAGCGAGATGATTTCCTCTCCACGAAGAAGTACCAAGCCAAGGACTCGCCGCTCCTCGCGCTGCAAAAAAAACTACTAATTATGATCATGAACAGGTTGCCCATGCAGGGTCCCAAACACGTCCTACCTCCTCTTCCGACTTGCCCTTCTTGGGCGGCAGGCGGCGGAACTCTTCCGAGTCGCCCAGGACCAGATTCATATGGCGGTCAAAAGCCATGAACCTATAGCATTAAAACAATCATTGGCGTGACTCTTTGTGCAAAGCCCGCGCGCTGACTTCGGGATCGCCCCGCAGCCTGCAAAACAACCGCACCTGCCAACAATCTGTCTGCTGTCCACCAATGTGACACGCATCCCTGCACGATTATCATTGTAACTCCGTTTAGTTTCCCGACAGCTTTGCCAAGGCCGGCCCCAGCGGCCATCGCTATGCCCACTCACGAAAGTTAATATATTGGAGAAGCTTCGAGGTCCGAGATAACGCCATTTTTCTAGGATTATTCGGACGACAGCCCCGGAGGGGCAAGAACTACAGTGAGGTTCACGTCAGTTAGATGTGGTCACAAGCAGGAAAACTTTTTAACATAATGTGCTCCTTGCATGCACCGTTGATCAAGCTTGATGGCACTAAGGCACTATGTTCAGCTCAGAGGGCTCGCCGGCCCAAGGGACTTGAACTGTACGAACAGGATTTAGGAAAAAATGAACAAACTCGACCCCATGAGAATTTGTGCAAGCTCCATTTGAACAGGAATCGGCTACAACAACCAGTTTTGATACGCTGGCTTAATTACCAAACTTTACTGTGGACAGCCACGACGACTGACTTCGGCCCCCAGCTCTGACCTGAATATCTTGCGAATAACCGTAGCATAATACTGTAACCATGCTGCTTGGACGCGCACCGGTCGCCGCAAGGGGCAGCAGGCCCTTTGTGGGTTCGGCTCCTCCGCTTGCACCTCGCCGCCGTCTGCTCATCGCCTGCAGCAGCGCACCTGGCAAACCCGGCGTCAAGGAGGCGCTAGGCCAACTTAAACAAGGTGCGCGTGCTCATTAGCGCCTTGTGTTTAAGCAATTGGGGTTTCCGTAGACACCGTTTCCGCAAAATTTCCCTTAGCCCTACCCCACCCCGGTCAAAATGCTCTAACACGGTTTCATTCCCAGTCCTCTCCCCTAGGCTCGGAAACCTTGTTCTTTGAGTGTATGACACTCAAAAACGCAGGGACCGTTGGTTACACACACGCGCGTTGGTTACAAAACGCCAGGATAGCAACCCTATTCCCTTCCCTTCCCAGACCTGTTGCCGCATTCCCTTATCCCCGGCCACCTCAGGGCTCGCCGGTAAGCCCACCGTGGACCCAGCCTACCTTGCTGGGGCTGCCTATCTGAAAACCATTGGTTTCACCAACCAGGTGTGTTGAAATGAGCTGAGCCACGAGGCGTTTTACGGGTAATCCAGGTGCGGGCTTGTGTATGCGTGACGAGGACGTCGTACGTGTGAAGACTGATCGCCTTAGCAAGTCACCTTAAAAGGCTATTGAGCTCTCGAATTGCACAACGGCATTATAACGGCCGCATGGGGGCTCCAATGGCGAACACGCAGGAGCCAGAAGGCCACAGAATGAATGATATCAAGTTCTCATTTTTTCTGTCCCCAAACATAAGCCAGGCGCCTGCTTGTTGGTTTTCGGGTTGTTGTTATTGTTATGTTACTATTACGTGGACGGCGCACAGAATGGTTATGACGAGATCGGCGTATTGTGCAGTGCACAACGGCTATTGCCGTATCTGTACTGCTGCTAAACCCTGAATCCACTCCCAAACCCGCCTCCCCGCCCTACCCCATGTGATTGTACGGCAACTCCAGGCGGAGGTTGCACGGGTATTGGATGTCGCTATGAACCCGGATTCACTTTTTCTGTCGTACGGGGACGGCCGGCGAACGAAGAACGCAAGCGTGAGTCGACCGATGGGCAGGTCTGTCCCCGCAGCAGATCGCGATTTACCGGCAGCAGCAGTTCTGGCAGCATTATTGTTTCGACATTAGCAACAGCAGGCGCAGCAGCACTTGCGGCAGTGGAAGATGTGCATTTTGGGCACTCGTTTTGAAAGCGACAATTTCAAAGGCACGAGGATAAATATGCTTTTGTATAAAGATCTAAAGTTATCTGATCCGCCGAGGTCTGGATTTTGCCTGGGGTTGTTCGTACACTTTGCACAACATCTTCTAAGCTTCCATTTTGTCGCCTCCTATCCCGCGAGCACAGTTCTTTTGCTAGGAATGTAAATCCGAAACGGAGTCTTGGGCCCTTTCGGAAGGTCGAGCCTGGGGTTTATAGGCAGCTTCAGGCATGTACCTGAAGCTGTGTCATCGCCAACGTCATCGTTCCTGTTTTTGTCGCCCATCTATTCCTCCTTTTGCTCTCTCGCCTTTCAATGTACAGCGGAATCGTACTGCATTTCTTATGGGTCTTGCACATTCCGGATGCGATGCGTCCTCCTCTCCTTTTGCTTCTCCATTACCAAAGCTGTTTTTGCTCCAGGGGGGAGTGTTGGGGGCCTGACGTCGTGGTTGGCGCTCGTGCCGCACACGTGTGTTTTTTAGTGATCTGGGCCGCGGGCGGGACCCAACTTGAAAAGGTTGGCAGGCACGCGAGTATGTTTGTCTGTTTGCTGTTGTTTGCTGCAGCAAGCAGTACAGCAGGGAGGTCACCCGTACGCTGGAATGCTTGGTCAGTCCTCTTTCCTTAACCCCTCCCACCACTACCATCGCACTACTCCCCTACAAACAGGCTCGGAAGCTAGACGTGGATGCCGACATGCGCCCCGTGGTGGATTTCCTGCTGTCGCGGGGTGTTTCCGTGGGGGAGATTGCCAAGGTGGGTTGCTGTGTGGGGCTCAGGACCGGGCGATATGGCCCTGGGACATGGCCCAGGGGGTTGAGTTTTAGGGGCTGATAAGGATAAAGCGCCGTGAGCCCATGGGGCCGGGAGTGGTAGAGAGTTGGATGGGGAGCGCAGGTGTCGATGGGGTCAAACTCAGACCAAACAGTACGACCAAACCCAGATCGGAATCTCAGCGTGTTGGTGCAGTGTTGCGGCAACCTCCGCAGTAAGTACCTAGTCCATTACTGCTGCTGCTGGTGGTGGTGGTAATGATGGAAATATCTGGTGGCTGTTGTTCCCTAAGGATGTCGTTATTGCTGTTGCCACCTCACTCAGCGCGGCGCTCTCACATGTTGCAGGTCATCAGTGGCCACCCCCCTGTTCTGAGCTACAGCGTACCGGACAGATTAGAGCCCTTCTGGGACTATCTCACGAGCGTCGGAGTTGCGAACGTGGCACAGGCTGTAATAAATCGGCCGTCGCTTTTGGGGTTGGAGGTGGACGCGAATCTTCGGAAAATCGTGGAGTATCTGCAGTACACGGAGACGCCCCCGGAGACGATAGTTAAATACGTGTTGGAGTCAATTTAAGGGGAAAGCTATTGGGCTGATTGTCTGGTAGGCGAATTTTGGTGGGCATGATGGCCTTGAGGGACAAGGGATCCGTCGTCGCACGAAGCGAAGTTGCTGTTTTGCGCGCGTGTCGGTGCAGAAAATAAGAACGGTGCCGGTGTGTGGTGGGCCGGAGTCATAGGGCGTGAAGGCAGGTAACGGGGGGTTCTGTACTAGCGAATGAACTGTCAGAACGCGGTGTTTATAAAGGCATGACGTGCGGTGATCCAGCTGCGCTCCTTATGGTGGAGTATGGTATATTGGCTGGTTCGATGTTGGCTGCACATTGGCACGCGATGCAGCTTTGTGGCTGTCGAGAGAGTGCGTTCAAGTTATGCAAGTGCTGATACAACACCATTTCTTACGGCGCAGTGCATCGCTGGGGACACCTCCTGCTGCAGCTGATAGCGACGAGAACGCTCTTCGTCTAGGTCCTTCGGGAGTTAGGGTTCAAACGCACCCAAAAGGATCCCAATTGTAAGGTATTAGCTTATAAAGTTTAAAACCATTTACAAAGGTTGTTGCTGGAATCTACTTGTGCATCGACAGAAAGCGCGACGGTCAAAGCCGTTGACCCAGGAACCATAACGGATACGTTTATGCTGTCGCACCTAAGTGGACTGAATTGCAAAGTTATCTATACTTGAAGATTTTCACATATTATTCTTACTTATCTTTGTATAGGAAACTGGTCGAGGCACCAGCTGCAACCTTGACACTTGAGCAATCCGTTTACTGCTTTTAGGAAATAGTTATTTACAGGAGAGAGTTACAGTCTGATGAGGAGAGCTGCGGGTTACAATAGCGAGAACAACGGGCAGTGGGTGCCCCCTTTGCCGAATTTACCAGGCCATGGAGCCCATGGGCCGGTAGGGGCCTTTGCTTACCAAGCTAACCCCATCAGCTTGCTTGAAGTTTACGCTGCTTCATCAGAGCGTGTCACGACGGATCGGCGACTGTCGCGCAGATGGAGCCTAGGCCGAGAGGACAGACGCTAAGATATGTCAAAGGATATCCTATAGCGGAGGACGCGGTACGTGTTGATTCTAGCCTGTCGTGCTTTCGGATCCCGTGGGATTCCAGGAAACACAGCAAGCCAGTATAGCATGCTGCCCATCAGCGGCCGACGCTACCAACCCGACCGCGAGTGTTTCTTCATGCGACGTAACGGGTAGCCCGTAACCCAGTCTCGGTGCAAAAGCGCCTGATAAAAGTCCCGAAGGCTACCATATCCTCAATTTTCCGCAGGAGAGAGCATCTCCGTACTCGGCTTCTACCGCGCTTATGCGTCTGTAGTTCTCGCCTTTAAAGCAACGAAGCTCCAAACCCGCCATGCTCCTGGTGACGTTTTTCTCTCATCCATGCAATAAACAAGAAATCAAATCGCCTTAGCGCCCTAAGTGCACAGACTCCCCAGTGCCTCCCATCTCACCCGTTCCCCCTTTCGCATCCGCCAATCAACTGCTTTCTCTCCACCTCCCCCTATCTCGCGTGTTCACAGCAGACCTTCGACCCGCTGAATCGCACAACCAAGTGGAATGGCCGTGTCCAAGATGTGGGCCCTATACCGCCTTTCGCGTTGCACGAGGCTGTTCAGGGGTCCGCATTGCAGAGGGAAGCCCAAGGGGGCCCCCGGGAATCGGCAGGCAGCGGCAGCGGCACCGTTGCCGCCATGGCCGGCATCGGCGGACCGCCCGCCAGGGTGCCTAACTGGATCACATACGACAGAAAGGTTCGGGCTGCAAGACGCTTTGTTCCTTCTGCTTACTAGGCCTGGCACGTCAGACCATTGTTGTGTGAGGGTAAAACAACTAAAGATGGAAAACAGACAAAACACACTTATCCAGTTAGGACTGCTCCAATGTAGGACTAGAAGGCAACAGGCGGAACCGCTGGGCAGGCCGTGCTGTCATCTGGGCAGAAGGGCAGGGCCGAGCTGAACGTTGTTGGATTCTTTTGAAGAAGGGGCATGAGGGTCAGGGTAGAGGTGAGGGTACGACGAAGCACGGAAGTAGTGGGAAGGGGTTGTGTTCGAGGAAGCTGGCTGTCGGTTGAAGGTTTCCTTCTGTTGGGGGACATTCCCGTATCACGATATCAGGAGAGCTCAACGGACCTGCCACCCAGCCAGCCAGCCGGTGGTGTTTATACCTCTCTCTCCTTGTGCTGCTATGTTGCTGGCCTGTCCTGATATGCTGACCTGTCCAGAAGAATACCAGTTACTACGATCGGGCCTGTATTCCGGCAGCTGTTCAGGGCTCGTGGGGGGCAGTAAGAGGCCAGCTGCCTCCGGAGACGAGGGCTGAAAAATGTGATCCGCCGTCTCGGCATATAGCTGCCCCACTTCAATTCGGCTTCGCCTTCCTGCTTCCCATTTCCTTGGCTTCCGATGACCTAACCTCCCAACGTTACTATGGGGCTTGTGCTACCCGTCTCCCACCGTTCCATGGCCGGGGATAGTGATGAGGGTTAGTGATGACTTGCTGCATTTCTGTCCTGCGGCTGCGCAGGTCCTGGGTTTCGGAGCTTACTTTCAGGAGGACGTGCCGTACAGCGCCCTGGAGTCATGGCGCATACGGAGAGTGACTGTCAAGTAAGTGATGGGTTGTTTGGGGGCCCGTAAGGAGGAGAGTGCGTTGAGAGTTGCCGACGCAGGTTGATTACACGGGGAGGCAGGGGAACGGACGCGAAGGAGGGGAGGAAAACGAAACGCGCGGCTTGGCGCCCGGTCCTTACCTAAGCGCTGGTAGACAATGCCATGCGTGTATGCCGAACAACACGTGTTGCAGGTATTACCTTGAGAACGACCAGGTGGAAATTGTGGAGGTGCGGGAGCCCAACAGTGGCTTGCCGCAGGTGCGTGTGGGTTAGCGGGAAGCATCGCGTACGAGTCAATGCAAGGCCCCTCAAGTCGCCATCCACCAGTGTCGATGGGGGTGCTGCCTGTCGCCTGCTTGTCTTCCTGCCCAGCGCCGTGCGGCCTGCATAGACCCATGATATCACAGTGTTGCATGGCAGTTGCAGCCAGACATGCGCACTTCCCCCTCGCAATGACCCCGTCTCTTACCTCCCCTCGGCATCCGTTGAAAGCCCTTACCTACCCCGTCGATAAGCCGACGTCCCAACAACCTCTTCTTAGTAAAGAAATTGCTTAGCTGGTTTTGGAGCCCTGGATCCACATGCCGAGCCACATCTCCTCGCGTTGATTGACCCGTGCTCTCCTCTCTTCTTCCCTCCCTTTCCTCGCCACGTACGCCCTGTCCTGTGGCTTTCGCTTGGTGGATCACGTGGATCACCACAACGGCTCCGCAACCACCTTACCACCACCATCGCAATGCCAAAACCTCCGATACAATACAACAAACCACGGATAACGCACAAGGGAATTCTGCTCAAGCGGCATAGGTGAGGTTGAGCTGGGGGTATTTTTTTAACACAACGAAAACTAGTTTTTCAGGTACCTGTCGTTTCAGTAGCGATGCTAATCTTCTTTCCATCCTTCGCACTGGCTTTAGACGCTTTCGTGATAATATTTATTAGCTGGTAATCGACTCCCCGCAGCACTCACCGCCTCTCACCCGGTGCTTGCAAACCCGTCTTGGGTGTCGGTCCCCTAACTCTACTCCAGCGCGGTCAAGGGCGACGGCTCCCCGTTGCGCTGGCCGGATCTACGTGTGGGAGGTCAGCTCGTGCTGTACCGCCGTACGTACCACCTCGTCTCCGCGGATGCGGCCACTCGGACATTTTACAGCGAGCATGGCCAGGACCAGCAGCCTGATGAGGCCTATCCGGAGGGACCGTATGATCAGCACCGGAAGGTGGGTGACATGTAAGGAAATGCGGGACGGGGCTGCTAAAGATTAATGTGTGATTAACCCAAGTAATTGGGAAGTGCCACGAGCTGGTTGAGTGAATTGTATGGTACAGCTTTTGCTATGATACCTACGACCATCCTCTCAGAATCTACCACCCAATGGTTCAGAATCTACCCGTTCGTTCTCTCCACATCTATCCATCCAGCCGTTCATCCATTCGCCGCGCCCGCGTTCTATCTGTCGCGCTGCAACAACCCCATCAGGCTCTTGAGGGCGCTAGGGGCCGCAAGCCATCGCAACCAACCACCCAGGAATCCGTCGTCTCCAGCCCACCTCGCCAGCACCCCCGAACCCTCTATCTGCCCATGGAGGACGTGCCAAGGCAGCTGGCAGCGTCCCCACGCGGTGCAGCGGCCCTCTTCCGGCAGATGCGAAAGGGCGGCAGGCCGTCTGCCGAGGAGGAGGAACGCGACGGTGCGGTGTTGCGTTTCCTGGCGGCGTGGGACACCACAGGGCACCTGTTTGGCGGCGTGCTGGCCTTCGCGCTGACCTACCACGTAGCCGACGGCACAATTGAAGTGCGTGAGGTCAACCGGCGCAACAGCGGTCGAGACCCCTTCCCGCTGCTGCTTCGGCGCAGCCGGCTGCCCAAGGTCGTCCCGCCAGTGCGTGAGTTCATTTTGGTTCACAGGCTAGTTAGGGCATCCGTTAGGGCATCCGTTAGGGCGTCCGTTAGGGCATCCGTTAGGGCGTCGGTTAGGGCGTCGGTTGCGGCGTCGGTTAGGGCCCTCGGAAGTCCTGTTTTCTACTTTGGCCCGAGATCGGAATTCCAAATATTCAACTACGTTTGGTGTCGTTTGAAACTGACCTGCTTGGATCCGACCGTCAGTTCGGCTTGGATTTCGATCGGATTTAGTAGGGTTTGAATTACCAGGTTCGGTTAGATCGGAGGCGATAAGGTAAAAAAAGATGGGATTTCAATTCGCGGTCGTGACGCACGTCCAAATTCCCCCTTGAATCTTTTGCTCCTTCCCTTCCGCCCGCTTCTTGATCTGTTCGCTTTGCGCAGTACGTGGAATCATTTTCACCTCACGCACTTCCTTGCTTCCCCTTACTCCCATTCTCGCTATCAGTTGGATGCAATACGCCCCCCCTTTTCGCCTCCTTGGACTGGCCCGGACTTTACAGACGGGCGGCCCATGTCCCCGGAAACCCGGCGGCAACTAGCCATCACCTATTACGACTGGCGGGACCTGCACCTGGGCGCAACCGTCAACGTGTACGGCAGGAAAATGATGCTGTACGACTGTGACGACGGGACGCTGACGTGGCTGAAGAAGTATGTGCCAGGTCTGAAGCCTGAGCAGCTCACAGCCATTCCGGTGAGTCCGGAGTCTCGGAGGTGCAATAATGTGTATGTATGTATGTTATGCATATATGTATGTGATCAAATGAGTGAGTGTATCCTTAGAAAAAAAGGGTTGCGAGCAGGAAGTGGCAAGGATGGCGCATATCTGGTGCATCAGGGAAGACCCTCAAAGCACTAAACATCACTGTCACGAGCAAGGCTCGAGCAGGAAAGGCGATTAGGCGGATATCTTGAAATCGTGAAATAGCGTGAAAGCTAGGCGCAGGAACGATGCCTGCCGAGTAACGGCTCGGAGGGGACGAGGGTCGAAACCCTCCCTCCTCAAAGCCTTCCTACCTCGCTTCACCCTAACCCCCCCTCTCTCTCGCGCGCGCGTGTGTGTATGTGTGTGCGTGTGTGCTACACCTTATTACTGACCCTCCCAAGTCCCTATCCTCCCCCTCTTCCCGGCTCCGGAACCGCTCCAGGTGGACTTGGACCCCTTCGGTCCCAAGCGCCCTCCCCTGCACATCCCGCCCAACCTTTCCGGTATCGGCAGCGAGGAGGACTCCTTGCAGAACGTGTTGAGACTGGTGCCGCGACCCGTGGGTCGATGCTCCTACGATGATTATGTGGCCAAGTGCGACAAGGTGTTGCGGTTTTCGGCGGTGATGGTGCCGCTGGGGCCTGGGCGGCCGCTGGTGGGTCCCCATGATGCCGAGCGCAGGTAGGGAGGCAATGGAACAGATTCCATAACCTTGCTCGTTGTCCTCTGTCTCCTTATCCCTTGGGCACGTGCATGCGTGCATGTGTGTATAAACTGTTTTCTCAGAGTGTGTGTGTGTTTTATTGATCTGAGCCGGAAGAGAAAGGTAATTGTGTGTGTGTGTGTGTGCGATACTGCCAACTGCGGCTGTCTCCTTCCTCACCACCCACCCCTCACACCCGCCATCACCCGGCCTTCCCAACCCCGCCCGGCCGCAGTTTCATCGTGTCGCTCTACCCGGTGGACGGCACCCTGTCCATATTCGAGCCCCGACAGGTCAACAGCGGAATGGAACAGGGGACGTTTCTGGAGCGAACTCGGGTACCCAACCCGGCCAATGGGGGCCAGCCATACACCGAGACGGACATGCAGGCGAGGCTGTTCAAGGGAAGGGCAATGGATCCTGCGTACTTTGCAAAGCCCAGGGCTGAAAATGTTTTCGGGTAGCGACTACGGAAGTGCAGGGTGCAGGCACTGCTGTCGCCCCGCAACTACTTTCCCCGTTGTTTCAGAATTCGCAGGTTGATTGCGGCTCTCTAGATTGCGGCTCTCTAGATTGCCGCTCGGCGTCGCTGTGGCTGACTCCTTTTGCTTACCTCTCTGCTGCCTCTCTCGCCCTCCCACCTATTCTCGTACCCCGCCGCCAACGCCACTCAGGTCGGCTGCGTGTTGGAGGTGTACGGCAGGGGCTTCCAACTCCTAGAAGCGGACACTGTTACTTTAGAGTACATGGAGGACCAGAGCTACCGCTTCCCCTGGGCAGATTACGAAAAGGTACGTTGTCGTACAGTTCCGTATACGCTGCAGTACTGAAGGGCAGTGAGCAGGCGCGGAAAGGGCGTATAGCCCATACCGAGGGGATGGGATGATGGAGCATGTGCTTTGGCTGTATTCCTTCGTCTTGTGAACGTGCTATTTTTCGCTCCACGAACCACTGCCTCAGCCAACCAACCGCCCAACCAATTAACCAACTAACCAACGAATCAACCCTCAGGTCTTCTCCAAGCTCACCACCTGGCTCGCCCTCTACCCTGATGAGCTTCCCGACCAACTTCGCACCAAACTGATCGCAGCGGACGCCAACGGCTCGGGCTACATTACCAAGTACCAGTTGTACGTGAGTGTCACAGTGTTGTATCCGTGGCATGAACCTGAACTCGCCCTCAGCTGCGCCTGGCGGGCAGGTGCCGGCTTGTACACGCGGCCATTGGCGCCTCTCCTCCAAGTGGTGTCTCTGCTGCTTTCCATCTTTCTACTGCTGCTGCTACTGCTACTCAATAGTCCCTACCCTCACTGCTCCCCCCTCCCTCCCCCCCTCCCTCCCCTTCCCTCCCCCCCTCCCTCCCCCTCCCTCCCCCCTTCCCTCCCCCTCCCCCCCCCCCCCGCGCTACTCAGGACCTCCTGACGTCATTAGGCGCCGACCTGGCGCCGCATGAGGTCGTTACACTTGTACGACAGTTGGGCGCCGACCGACAGGGGCTGCTTGTCGAGCAGCTGTTGGCTGCGCTGAGGTTGGCGCCGGCCCCCCAGGAGCGATCACGGCCACAGACGCCGCCGGAGCCGCAGGCGAGTGCTAGGCCGCGAAATTCGGCCCGTGTCCCGGATGATTGCTGCGTGCTTTAGTGACGGGGCGAAACAAACACGTGTTTTATTGTTAATAGAAGTGGGAATCCGCAGTTTGTTCAACAAAAAATGTATATCATCCCGAACTTTCTGAATTCCTCACGTTCAGCGACCACACGAACATACATGCCCTCCTCGCGGCTCTCCTGCTGACGTACCTCTTTCCTTTCCCGCCCACATGGCACACATGCAGGCATCCGAGGAGGCGCTCCGGCCGCCCGAGCCATCCGTGCCCTTCCCTGCCCCCGGGCGCCGCGCGGGCGCCTGGCCGCCGTTCAGGAGAGTGGCCTGGGGACCATTGGATCAAGTCGCCATCGTCGGCGGCAGCAGTGGAGTCTCCAAGGCCGCCGTCGCCGCGGCAACAGCGCCGCCGTACTCCTGTCTGGGTCCTACGCCGGGGCACCCGCGCGTCGACGTCGCACCCATGCCTTCCAACCCAAACGCATATCGAGGGCAGTACGGTAACTTCAGTAAGGCGGGTATGAGCGGAGGGCTGTGCGGCAAGCATGGTTATGCCGGCGCCGAGGGCACACCACCCGGTGACATCGACATCGACGACCGGCGGCGCCTACGTGACACACCGGAGAAGCCGAAGGGCGGCTGGGGGGGACCTCAGGATGCGGCAGCCAGCAAATTGAGAATGGCGGCGGCGACTGCACCGCCACTGGACACGCCATCGATGGTGATAACCCCTAGTGGGTACGGCAGTGCTGGCACCAAGCCGGCCTGGGCCACCAGGGGCTCCAGTTTCCTGACCGCGACGGGCATCAAGCAGCCCGCTTCGCTGTGGCAAACGACGAACATGGCATTCGGCGGGGTTGGGCACGCTGCGTCATTCCAGAGGCGATGAGGCTGGACGAGCACCTGGTATCTGGAGTATCCACTCGCTGGTCCGCTGTATTATGGTTGTTAACTGTCGTGGATATACATGTACCTCGAAAGAAATGATGGCAGCACGGTAGAGCGTTTGTTGCTGGTGGTACTTTAGTTGTTTTTATGTGGGCGGAAGGCTAAAACTGGTAATGTGAAGTGTATGTGAAGGGCAGGCCACGAATTTGTCGCCAGGTCATCACCTCGCTGGAGAGCACTCTTACTTCCTGCCATGATGAACCTATGTGACGCCGGGCATTATTTTGACGACCGCTATATGACGATGATGCTGATGGCGGCGATATCCACAACTGTTTGGATCCATTTTAAGGGGCTACACTGCAGGCAGCCGCGCCAAGGAGTGTAGTGTAGCGACTATATCTCAAGCAAAGATGAGTATCATGTGATTGCACCCCACAGGGTTTTCAACGTTACACCACGTTACATGTGTCAATGTACGGTGTCCGGTATTCGTTGTACACGTGCACCACAGCAGCACATACTAAAGAGGTAATGCCCCGTGCTTTCATGGCGGCCTTGTGCTTCATGGCATGCCAGACAAGCATGTATGTGTGAACATATATCGGTTGCCCATTTGACCAGATTCTGGTCACCAGAACCGTCATCATAACTCTGTTCCTTATGTGAGAAATGCGGTAGTGGTGAAGCTTTTCCAATCCTTGCTCCATAGGGGGCATTCATAGTAAAAATGTTAGCAATGAGTAGGTGGCCGTTATGCCGTTAGGCTTTATGAGCTCACGCGGATAGGGGTGCTATGTGCACACGTGTGCTTGTCTGTCTGTCTTCGTGAAAAGACAAGGAGTACTTCTTAATTATCGCGAGCCGGTACAGATATTTGTCTTCACGGGCTAGGACCCATGTGCAGACTAGTGCTTTCCTTGGCCATCGCACTTCGGGGCAATCTCTCTCCTGATGTAGTGTCTGCTCATCATGATGCCTCCGTCTCTTGGCACCTTGTCTCCGCCTTCACGGCGTGAAGGTACGTAGAAACATGTAGTCCTAGTGCTCTCTACAAGCACCCCAACCGCGTTTTACAAAATCAATAGACTACAGAATCCATTTAAAAAAGCACGACACATTCAATGTGAGTCCCTTGCAAGTCTGTGCGTCCGCACGCCTACTGGTTCATTATAGACCAGTAACGAAGCTAACTTAGCGGGAACGAGGGCGGACGGTTCCAATCGACCAGCAAACTAGCCATCAGGGATCTCAGCCGCCCGGGTGCCACAGCCCCTCCACGTACAGATCCCCCACTAAAATCCTGCATACAGTAAAGCCGGCAATTCTGGAGCTCCTAGGAGGGCGAACACTCAAATAATAGGGCCGCCCTCCACACACAGATTCTCTACATTGCCTCACCCAAACGAAGCTGTGATAGAGAGTGCATAGAACCTGCCACGAGACCTCCAAAGAAAACTACAGAAAAGTCCAATCGGAGATAAGTGACAAAGACACAGGTAGCTATATAGCCCAAAACAATAACGCGTCGTAGCCAATCTTCCACAGTCTTCAGGTAATTAAGAGAACCCATACACAGGGTGTGCGTGGTGTGTGTGTGGGGGGGGGGTGGGGGGGGACGCAGCAAACAGTTGGACCATGGCATCAAAATGGCGCCGATGGTGGCCACCCCCTTGTTCGCCCTGGCGAGCTAGCTGTCCTCCCCGCCCTTCAACAGGGCTGGTGGCAGACGTGGGAGCTTGAGATCTCCCCCGTCCAGTCATCGCAACTTGGATATGTTGTCACGTCAAACATTGGCATCGGACTGTCACAGTGGCGACTGAATAATCGCCATAAAAAGCAAACGGTCAACCGACAGGACCCTTAACACGTGCACGAGCAGTACAACACAGCAGCACGATCTGGTGAACAACAATAACTACGAAGGCCGAGAGAACAAATGGCCTATGGGTTCAGGAATGTCGCCCTCCAAAGTTCCCACGCATATCGCCACAAAGCCCAATAACAGCCTGTGGTCGAGTGTACCCTGCCGTGTCGTACATTTGTAAACATATGTCGTACAGGACCAACCGCAGACAGCAGGGCTACAATAACGAACTGAGAACAGCAGACACACGACACCCAAAACTACAGCTCAACAATAGTGACCGGGCCGTTCTCATGATGTACCAACTCATATGATGATTTCGACCGAGTAAGGAGGTAGATGGCACCCCGGGCTTTACCAAAGCACAACCCGCCGTACAGCACACCCCGTACATCACAACAGTACGAAAGTTTGTGACCTCCTGAACCCCTGCAGCTCAGGCACATTACACGACCCTCCGAAACCACCGAGCTTTCCCGGAACAAAGGCCCCCTGCAAGCCTAACGAACTTCATTAACGGCATCGACATCACCACACAACTGAAATGATGTAATCATCCCTCCAACAATGCCGTATTCACATCACTGACAATTGCACATACAGCAGTACGACACTCCTGCTGCTCATTGAGGGCATTCCGTACCTAAAGAATCAACTACCCATCACACACACTGTGGTGCCAGTTGGTGCATTGTAAAGTGTGTTTATGCAATACTGCACGTTCATTCCGATCACGGTTCAAGCCCAGGACCCAGTACGACAATGCCCCAAGCAAAATACCGTTGGATTTTGCTGTTGCCATCAACCACCCTAACTGCCTTAACCATCGTGCATTTCTCCGCATAATGAAGGTCACATACACGCACACCCAAGCGCAATGGACGCTATGGGCGCACGCTCTGCTCCTTCGTTTCGGGGTGTTTATGTTGTGAAGCACAGGACACCGACGACAAATGATACAACAGTTTGCTGCACAGAGCTGGAATCAAGAGCCACCGAGAACCTCCTATAAATATCAACGCGCCGCCAGGGGTGACTCCTCACCTCTCACTTCCTCATCATACAGCACCATCCATCCCCCAAGCTACTATATTTTCTAGCCGGCAAAATGGCGTAACTTTTGAATTGTTGATATTGTGATATTGGATTTCTGTGTGTGTAAGAGGGAGAGTGTGTGGGTGTGGGTGTGAACCACGCGTCGGTATCGCTGTTAAGGTAGTAAGCATACACCCTGCGGCGGCGGCAGATACTGTCCATGTGTGCAGCAGCCGCCGCCACCACAGCTGCTGCAGCCGCTATCGCCAGGTGCACCAGGTGCACCAGGCCTCGGAAACCGGCTCGAGCCGCCCAAGGCCTCGATGGATATCGAGTAGCCGAATAGACCTGATGTACAAAGACCTGTCACAACCCGTCGCCAAACCAGAACTCGAAACCAACCGTACACATCCGTACACATCGGAATACCACAAATGCGGCACCGAGCATCATGACCCAGAAAGCCTCTCAACACGTCCGAAGCTAAACCTGTATTACCTTTAAAACGGTTCAAACGCCGAGGACCGGTAACCAGGTGCATGATGTATGACATAAATACCTTGGCGAGCGATATTGTATCTATTCCCAAATAGGAATCCGGAATTGAGATCTCGAATAGGAACGATTTGAATACTTCTTCACACCCCGCATCGCCGTATCACTGGTACTGAAATACTCCCCCCCCACAGATATAGGGGTTGCGACCCCCACCACTACACAACACATACACCCCAACAACAACACAAATAAAAACAACAACAACAACGGCTAAACAACTAAGACCGTCAAAACGTTGTCCCCACTTACTGACAAACAGCTGCTTTTGCTAGCTGTTTCCTTCTCCCTTTCCGCCTAGCTAAGCTGCCATCAGCAGACAGTACAGACAGGACAACGGCGAAGTCGATTATTAACTCTGGAAAAGCACAAGACTTCAGCAAGAGACATGTGTCAGGCATTCTACGCGTCTACCACTTCTCAAAGGGTCAGAAGCAACCAGATCAATAGCGCAAACAGCAGCCATTAAATCTCTCGCAAGTTACCAGTTACCAGTTACATGAAAGGGTCATCAAACGAAAACGAAAAAGAGTGCGCGACGTGATAATAATAAAAGGGGAAACCGGACGGTCCGAGGAAATGGTGACGGGTAAAACCCGAGGGACGTGTACGCCGCCACGAGCGCGTTCCAGGATGAAGGATTATGTTAGGTACTTGCCATCAAACAAGGACTTTGCAAAGACCAGTGGCACCGAGGTCAACCCTTCTTGGTAACGAAACGGACAGACAGCGTGACGACGCGGGGGGGGAACGAAAGACGGCGCACCGGTACGTACGGACATACGGACATACTGCACCTCCAGGCGCTTCCCCGGGTGCTCTTGGGAGGCGAGGAGAGGCGGCGTAAAATGTAGAAAACGTAGGAGAGGAGTTACACTGCTGCGACTGCTGTTGTGACTGCTGTTGTGACTGCTGTTGTGACTGCTGTTGCGACAGCTAAGACTGCTGCTGCCGCTGCTACTGCCGCTACCATTATCATGATGCTGTGGTGGCGGCGGCATCGGCATCCACCCGTGGAAATACGCCACCTTGCTCCAGATCTTGCAATGGCGGCAGCGGTGGAAGCAATGGCGGCGGCAGCGGGGCAGCCGATTCTGGTGCCTCGCCTTGGGCTGCGGGAGGATGGGAGGAGTAGGACGGCAGTGATGAGATCGGTTGAGACTGTAGCGGTCGCGGCTGCAGCGCCATTAGCGAGTGGGGCTGTAGCACCAGAACGGGTCGCGTGTCAATCCAACCGTCCGCGCGTGCCAAAGGGACTCCACACATCACCATTCCGTACTCCGCCGCCGCCGCCGCCACCGGCGCAGCTGTCGCCAGTGATCCAGTCCCGGCACTGCTATCGTCGCCATCGCTGCAGCGTTCTCCCCCACCAGCAGCAGCACTGCCATCCTCCGGGTCGGTCCCCCCGCCACAACACTTCGCCTCATCCGCCACCTTGGCCTTTCCAGGTAAAGCTAGCGGGTGCTGCTGCTGTGCAAAGTACGACTGCTGTACAATGCCCATTTCCACATCTAACGCATCGGCGCAGTACATAGGTAAGTAGTATCGTACACCCTGACAGCTACTGCCACCGGGCAGGGTCGCTTCTCCTGATGTCTGCACGTGAGGAGGGGTACAGCATGGCATGTCATGGTACGGTGCGGTACGGTACGGCGCAGAGCGTGTGTGATTGGCAGCTTCGTGAGGGTCTGCGTGGTAGTTGGATCCAGTCCGTTTGTGAACGGGACAGGACAGGAACGACAGGACAGGACAGGAGGAGGACTGGACTGGAAACAGTGCGCTTTGGGGTTCGCGGAATTTTGCGAGGCTTTGCTGCGTGTGTTTCAAGTACGACGTTTATTCGTTACCCCGTGGACTCTTGTACTACAGGTACTGTGCAGATCGAACATTGGCTATGCAGGGTTATGGAGATGCAGGTCCGTGTCATCGTACCAGAGCGCCTTCTTGCTGTGAGTCACTGGCACTTCTGTGGGTGGAGGGCGGGAAACCCCACATACCGCAGTCCTGCATGCCAAAAACGTGAAGGTAATCGGTAGGTGAGATAAAAAGGATTTTATTTTTTTAAAATATTTAGCAGTAGTTGGGAGCGAGAAATGAATCTTAGGACACAGTGCTTCACAGCTTAGCTGTCACCCGCCGAGAGAGTCAAGAGAGAAAGGGGCGATGGAGGAAACGTAGGTCGTCTTGATGGATTCCAAAGCCTTCCCTAAATTCAAATTTCGTGTCGTGATAGGAGTTGGAAGCTTTAGACGTTTACAACCAGGAGGGCATTCATTCGTCCCTCATGCTACACTCTCCCTGGGCGGAGGCGCCATTGATTCACCGGCGCCGTACAGACAGGTAGCCGGATAGCACCGAAAGCCCCCGGACACAGATACTCACCGTCGCCTTCCAGTGGGCCAATATCAATCCAACGACTACACCAACCAAGCCTGCAGATTGGAAGGACGGGCGGGAGGTTGGGTTGCGGTGATAGGACTAAACGGCATGTGATTGGACACTGGGGTCGGGTTACGAAGTGCGATGTCTGATGTCTCGCATAGTGTTCAGAGAGTTTTCACCCAGCTTATGTGTCAGGGAGAAGTATCGATTGCTCGGAAGCAGCCAAGAGTGCAGCGTTGGGGAGCGAGGATGTCATGGTCAGTCGGTCTACCGAAAGCCCTAGAGTGCCAGGACGCCACTACTCCCGTACCTAATGCGACCACTGGCCAAATGACGGCAGGGTTATGCGCAAGGAAGCCCACCGCCACTGTTGATATCCCGCAGGTAGCGCCGAAAGCAAGGAATGCGCAAACCAATCCTTGGCCCTTCCTTGAAATTGACGGCAATGCCGCAGCCTCCGCAGCTCTGACATGATATGAACTGTAGTACGCGGTATAAAGCACGACGTCGTCCATTGGAGGGCTGTCGCGGAGCTATCGGAGCTCCTTGGCTAAGGCCGCCGATACAACATTTCACAGCTTCAAACGTATTGCTTTAATTTGACATGATGTTGCGTGCAACAAGTTACGACATCGAGGTTCCGGAAGGATGTTCGAAACAGCAATACTTCTATGAGAAAGGGCAAGAACAATGTATTCGGCTATGTGAGCTCTTGTCTATTACTCTTCTTGTTCTTCCTATCACGCTTAACCAGAACTGGGCACTTCAAGGACGGACCGAATATTATTAAGGGCTGCTTGAGAACGTCGGCCCAAGACAAGGTAATTACTTCATGCGCAGCATGTAAAAGGTTAAAAGGAGCCATATATGCAATCACAGTTAAGTTAAAGTAATTTGTACGTGTCTTGCAGGAAATGGAGCAGGTGTAGTACGCTCGTTCCATAATAGCGTTGGAACCTACTGCAATTGGCAGTTAAATTCACCGTTCAAAATTGTATACATGGGAGAACTTATCATGGTGAAGCGAAACCATATCTTGTTCAAGAAGGCCATGTGTCCGGAAAAGCATCCCTACGAGGGTCACGCACCCTGTGGCTAAATGTCTCTACGGCGGGCTCCTAATTGTCGCTCTTCATGAAGTTAGTCACATCGTTGGGTTTGGCAGCACCTAGACCAAATCAAGCAGTCAGCTCTGCTTTGCGCCACTTTTTTGTCCATCCAATTTCACCAGTGCCTTGCCGTGCAGCAGTGATGCGGCCTGTGGAGCCCCCGCTTGCCCATCACACGCTACGGCGGGTAAGAGAGCTTATTAGTGCTAGACGTTAGAAATACCTTTCTTTTCCTTGATTGTCGAGGTACGGAAGAAGTAGCTCTTGGAACCACCACTGAACAGGGCCCCAACCCCAGCCGACTGACCCATGCCGTACAGCTAAATTTGCCGGGTCCGTACGCCTCGACCCGCTTTCCACACCTAACAATATCATATCGTTAGGAGGTGCTCCTAACGAAACAGCATGACATAAACAGGAAATTCCATCCGAACACGTTTCATCTCCGCAGTTCCTACCCCGCCCCGCCGGAAATTCCCAATATGGTCTCGTGACTGAAACTGTTGGTGATCACTAGTGTCATAAACAGTAAGACACGGCTAGAGTAATCGGTCGTTACACAGGAATATATCCGGGTGCGCTGAGGTGGCCCTGGGGTCCTGGTGTGGGGCCAGATTGAATTGCAGCAACGAGACAGTGGCTATGGAACGACTGCGGCTGCGGCAATGGTGGTGTGGGCCGCAGCAGCGCGGGTAGGGGGAGAAGGTGGTAGAGAAGACAGTGGGTCTTGGTAAAACTCGTGCAGCAGGTCGGGGGTGGCGTGAGCGGTCGCATCGGCAGTGCAACAGCGTTTCGTAATGACTGTGAAGGCATTTTCCTTTTACATGTAATAGGCGAGTGACAGCGACACTAGAAGTGCTGTCCAAGCATCGTGTGATGAGCTCAGGCTGGCTGGGGAGGCCATACCGGCTAAGGATAGTGCACGATATCTGGGGTTAGTGTATGGGCCGGAACGGCAGTTCTGGGCCTGCCGCCAGCAGTTGTATGACACAGCTAGAGCAGCTATGTTCGCGTTGAGTGCAAAATTAGATAAGCTAAAGTTGTTCGCCCCAGATGTGAGGATGAGGTGTTTCGATACGCAGGTACGAGCAATACTGTTGTATGGTTGTCAAGCGTGGGGGCCGTTTATGCTAGCTGAGGTCTCGGACAGGCTTAGGAAGCGGAGTGATGCGAATAACCTTGCAGAGGGGCCCTTTGAGGCGTGCCTAAAGGACAGGGCAGTGCAGCTTCAGATATCTTTCATGCGGCAAATTGTAGGAGCTGCCAGACCAACACACCGCCTCTTGTTCGCAGAGCTATCGCAGCTACCCCTACACTACCACGTTCTCAAGCAGGTTGTGAGGTTTTGGAACCATGTCCGTTTACAGCGTGGGTCTGTGGCATACCAAGTTTTGCGACAGGAGGTCGCAGAATCCCTCTCCAACCCCGAAGGGCCCGGATGGGGGACACTACTCCTCCGTTTTCTATGTTTTTTGGGGCACGATGTATGGAAAGAGGCCCCACAAGGGCTACACGAGGTAGACGAACGAGTGGAGTGGCTGATGAACAAACCAATGCCAGAAGGTGTGATTTTGGAGTTCAAGGACCGATTAATGAGTGGTTGGAAGCATACGCGTTTAGATGTCCAGCCTGACGTGTATCCGTCAGACGGCAAGCAACCAGGAATTCACATGGCGAAGTATAAGCATTGGATGGGGCTGGCGGCCGAGCAAGCGGGCAGGAAGGAGGTGCTCCCGCACATCACAATGTTTATCCCACGTTCGGCGAATCGCAAGCTTATGCAGTTTAGGCTTTGCTGTTGGGCACTGGCGGCTAACAGAACGCGTAAGGGACGGCGTTATATACCTAGGGAGGAGCGAGTATGCCCTTGCTGCGGCACTGGTAGCCACATCGAGGATGAAAAGCACATTTTGCTGGACTGCCCGGTTTACGACGGAATCAGATCTGATATGGGCTTTCCACGCTTCGAACATATGAAGGACGCTATGAAGTGGGAACCTGAACGCCTGGCAAGGATGCTGGAACGTATATGGTCTCACCGCAACTCTATCGTTCCCTTTGGTCGTTAGTATACTTCATCACTTGTTTCGCTGGAAGTGCGAGGTAGGATGGTGCTTATAGGCGATTTGGCAGCCCTTGAGCCCTCGGCTCGTACTAGGGTGGTTTGCAGGTACGGGGAACGCACCCACGACCATGTAACAACAACAACAACAACAACATGTAATAGGACTCTAGGGCCAGGTGTGGCTCTGGGACTTAAACAAGAGAGGCTTAAACAAGAGAGGCATTTCTCATGACGTAAAGTGGTTCTGGAGCGAACGATGCGTCACGCGAAACTGGCTTGCTGTCTTGAGGGCAAATCTTGAGGGCATTCTTGGCCATTCGTGCATCCGCATGCATTATTTTGACGCTGTATGCTGGCCTGGTTCCCTTTCAGCTGCCGACGCTGTCAGTGTCTGTCAGTCTCGACGACTTAATGCAACTATGCAACCTTAGAACGCCCGGGGGGGTTGTCGCCTACTGTGTGCCCTTTCGCCTTCGTGCACCCATCAAAGCGTGAGGTTCCATCTAGCCGAGCATCAAATTTCGTTACCAAAGCTTGTACTTATCCTGCGTTTGTCTTTTGGGTTCACTGGACAGCAGGCTGTCAAAATATAGAGTAGTGGAATCGAGCCGTTCAAACTGATACTGCCCTAGGGCCTCAGGTCTTAAGTTTCCGTAATCAGGAAATTAATACTTTGCAGTTGCTTTAGCTTCAGATGATAACCCATTTTCTCTAAACCGTTGCAGGCGGGGACGAGCGCACATATGTACAATTTCGTCGAACAGTACATAGTTCACTGTGAACATCTGATTTCCTACCTTCAATTTCGCCGCTGTCTGCATATGCAATTGTTAAGGATTCTTTCCTTGTGGCGTGCGTGTGACAAAGGTCTACGATGAATGGATGTTACGAGCTTCATACATTTCAAACGGACCCGAAGGCTCACGAGCCGCTTCAATCTTGCAAGGAAAGTTACGTGAAGCTCTGCCTGACTGAGGCGTACCTTAACGCAGCGACAGATGGGGATCGCCCACCAATTGATCTCCGCGTGCCTTCCATGACATTTTTAAGCAGCCCCTCGCAGAAATGTGAGGGGTCGTACTCTGCCGAATAAACAGACCGTACAAAATGGCCCAAAGACAGTCCCGAATTTTAACGCGCGGATGCGCGCGTGCGATTCGCAAAATGCGCGTGTACAAGTGTATATAAATTTTCTTAGAAGAAACGCCGCGGTGCGACAGCGCGAATCGCAGGAAGGCATGCTGGCCACAGGCGCACGCGGCATGCAGCCCGGACAATGGGATGCCTGCTTTGCTTTAATTGAAAGCACAGAAAGCAAACAACGTAGCTTGCAGGACTGGGCGCTTGAACGACCGCGGGAAGAGGAAGCGTTTGGCGAAGCGGCAGTTTGCGCAAGCAAACGGGCGCGGATTCGGTAGCGCAACGCATACAGCCCCTTGTTCAGCGTAAAGTCAAATTACAAACTTGCGCGAAAAAATATAACATACACAACTTAAACAACAGAACAGATAAGTCGTTCGGAACCGTGCAAGTAACATGGACGCCGTTGTTGGCTTGGAACAGCTATTTGCTGTGCATAGGGACGTGCCCGCGTTAGCCGTGTTGCAACAGCTCAGGATGGATTTCAGCCAGCAACAGCCTCAAGAGCTGCTGCACAACCACCGGGAATGTCTTCAGTTAGGCACGTGTAGATTTGGTCGGCGGGTCGAGCATCGTACGCATTGCGCACAGAAACCAAGGTGCAGCGTCTCTGTAACATCGCCAACATATCCGGTACGCGGTGGCAGGCTTGCCGAGCACGAAATGAAGGGGGGGTCACATCTCACCATTCAATTAAGCATGCATGTGCTCGGTTGAATGCTCGGTAGCGTGCGAGTTTACCCCTATCAGGATGTTTGTTTGCATATCCCTCCAAGCGAGAGGGCTTGGACCTATGCTGATGTTCGTTCCAAGAAGTGAACTGAGAACTGATGCTACGGTGAAAGGTATGCATGTAAATTCGCCCGTGCGCCAAACACCCTGTAACTCGCTTACGCTAATCTCACATTCCAATATGCCGCTGCACTTTCCTCTCCAGCCTGGCCACATTCTCTTCCTCGCAAACGTACTTGGGCACCTTACAATCCAACACCATACGTGCTTTGGAAACGCGGGCAGCTGCTTCACAAGGACCCCCCTATTTGTAAATGTTTTCATGCAGTTGTGCATATAATGATCATCCTAAGCAATATTCGCCATGTTTCTACAGCTGGAGCCAAGTAAAATCATGTTTGTTTCTGCACAGTAGGCATAGTAAATATCTTATTATAGGCGTAGCCGAGAATGTGGTTTGCAGACGGGCGTCAGAGCAGCGTCGTACGGTGCGGTTGGTTGGTTGTTGTCTTGAGCTGCTGTTTTGCTCGGTGGTGGTTCGTCTTGTCTAGTAATCTTCTTTGTAATCTCTGACTCGGCTTCTTGTTGGTACGTGCTCTCTTTACCAGAACAGCTGCGAGTTGCCGCTGTTATTGTCTGTTGGTCAGCGGTGCGGATCTGGCGACCTTCCTGTCTCGCTGCTCAGCCCGGATTCAAATAGGGAGATATTACGACGACGGCAAACTTCATTTGAGGTCAACCATTGTCTGTGTACATATCAAGTGCTGGGCAGCAGTGATTACAGCAGCCCGACGAACTCCGTACCGTATTCAAGTTCCGTAGCATAAAGGACAGCCATCCATGGGAGGAAGCCGGCATGATTTAGCCATCATCTCATATCATAGCTCATGCAATCCACCGGAGCCATTTCCTCTGCCGACAGCTTGATTGCCGACTAAGGTTTGAACCGCACGTTGTAACATTGGCCCCCTACACCCTCCTTCATATTCATTATTACTGATCCTTTGATTACAATATGAGAATTTTATGTTAGGATCTCACGTTGGTTATCAATCAGTGAGCGCAGTAAGGTAAGGCTAGGTAAGGCTAGGTAAGAGCCCCGCAACACAACCTGCAAGGGTGAAACCGGGAACTTCATTTTTTCAGCACTTCCGAGAATCTGGCTCGGGACCTGAGAGTGCCTCTTACGTCACATCACATCACCTGGGCGTGTCCGTTAGGTGCTTATGTGTTGCATCATCACCTGTCCGCGCAGCACCAGGGCCAGCGTGTCAGGATTTGGTGCCCTGCAGCTGCAGGCATTGCCAGGCGGGGAGCTAAAGACACGAATGAGGCGGGGCAACTGGCATCCAGCCCAGGCAGCCCCTGTAACGGCATCATATGGGGGATGATGCGCTCTGCGGGTAGCAGCAGCGGGTCTTCGATAGTTACTCACTTGGCGAACCGGTTCCTTGCCAAAGTTGTTACACGGCCCTGGAGGGAACCGCAACTAGGACGAACTAGGTAGACATAGCGTTCCATGCCGAAGCGATCCAGAGGGTTGCAAAGATTGGGGCGAACCTTGATGCGCGCAATGATGGTGGGCGTACGTATGGGGCAAAAGTAAGCGAGCGCGGTGCGAGAACGTTACAATTTCCTCTTCGCCTAAGTCCCTTGTTGCTTTATTGACAATTCGGTAATTGGGTTAATGGACAATTTTCGTAATTTGCGTGGGAGGTGCAACAGCTTAATGTTCCCAGCGGATAACACGCACGCAGCCAAATGCGAAATTGGTCGCTGTTGTTATATGTGGCTATTCTGGGCTTGAGGCGAGAAAATCCAGCAGCAGCTAAACAGTCCAAACATGGCAACAACAAGTGTACAGAGTCGTGCGTGTGAAGATCGCGGCTTGTCGCTGCTTGGAGATAACGTTCCATTAAACTCTCTTAAATTTATTTCTAAATGTTTCTAAGGACGCGCGCGCGGTCCATACGGTCGCTTGCCGTTGTAACATTTTGTAACCATTTTTAACCTTGTTACCGTAGAGATTATTAATAGCTGAGCGCCAGCTTGGCAGTACTTTAACAAGATAAATAATTTTGATTTATAATAACGTACAAATTCAATGAATAGGTTTGATTACGCTCACACTAAGCATTAATCACCGCCGCATTAATACCACAGCCACTTTTGCCTCACCATAAAGGTAACTTTGATCTTTTTCCATTTAGCTTTAAGTGATTAAGTGAATGATTGTCATGAAACGGCCTCTCTGTCATTGTATTGCCCTGTGCGCAACTCGGGCCCTATGACAACCCACGCCGGCGCCCAGTGAGCACTACAAAAGGCGACAAAACTTAAGAAACTAATTGGTTAAGATCCCGACCTAACTGACTGACATGTCAATCTGGCGGGTTATTCCAGGACCGTAATGTTCTGTTTTGCAGTACCTGCTTTGGTTACAAAGCGAAAGCTAACACAAAGTTCAGACGCTGAACTCACCGGAATCAGTCCACTATGGATTATCCCGTTGCTCGGTCTTTGATTGTCAGATATCCAACTGACCTCGGAAATGGCACGGTTTGCATGCCGCGCGGCCAGTGCTATTGCGAGGTAAGCGCGACCGGGACCATGGGCTATGCGTCCGGTTCACCTCACTTCACGACATATGAAAAATTCTCATGATTTTCATCTCGGTCATTCGCGACACTAAAAAACGGCCACCACTTCTTACTGCGAGATATTTTGTCCCTTACCAGGGCTGGTTGAGGAGCAGGGGTACCAGCATTGAGAAAACAATTGCAATTACATTGCAATGGTGAGTTTTATACACAGTCTTCAAGAGAAGAACAAAAACACTGCCAGCAATGCCGAACCGGTCTTCAGCAGTCCAAGCTGTGAACTCGGAGCCTACGCGACTTGTTATCCCTGTCGTTGCTGCAGGGTCGTCTTTGCCTTATCCGTCGCTTGTCTCGGATGGTATGCGTACCAGGCATGGCGAGCGACGTGCGGGTGGGAGGAGGTTTATGTGGCATTGATTGAGGTGAGGCCTTCGCACCTTGGGGGAAAAAAATGTTCAGGTTTCCGAAAATTTCACACAACTTTTTTCATATCGCAGATGATGAAGAGTATTATCGAGGCCTTTCACGTGAGTTGGCTAGGGCGCTCTGGAACATAACTTGCTCGCATACAGAGTGTATGTGAAAGTCGATCGTCCAACGTAGCTCCTAGCGCGGCCAATACCGTGCAGTTCCGACTCATTGCGCGCCGCCGCTTTCATCGCCCGCGCCCACCGCAGGAATTCGATTCACCTGCGACTCTGTGGCTATCTAGCGGAAACGGGGTTGTCTGGATGCGATACGGCGAATGGTTGCTTACATGCCCGGTAATTGCGTTGTGCTGGAATGGGAATGCCTGCCGAGTTACACATGGAGCTCCGAGAAGGGCTTATGATTACATAGTCATTCCATCTACGGGGAATTTCACGCAAAACAGATTCGACAGCCATTGAAGACCGTCCACTGCCGGCCTGAATGGAGGCGTAACGTTGCAAGCTGGTTACAAATTAAACCACCTTACTTGGAACAATCTCGCACACTGAAGTCAAATATCTTGTATGGTTTTATTACTAGAAGCTTTTTAAGTTCACCGACAAAGTTCCCCGGCAACGGCTGAGCGCTCAGTCCTCAGTTTCACCATGTCAAGATTCAATGTTTCCTTAGACCAAGCAAAATTACTCAGACCAAGCTGCATACATCCATTTTACTCACTGTAACCATCCTCACTGTAACCATGCTTCAATTGGATCGTCGTGTGTGTACGGCACGCAGGTGCTCCTGATCCACTTGTCAAATTTAACTGGGCTCAAAGATGATTACAGCAAGCGGACAATGGGTTTGCTCGTCTCCGATGTCGGATGCATCGTATGGGGTGCCACATCCGCCATGTGTACGGGATGGACCAAGGTAAACTGCCGTATGAAGCAATAAACCACCTTTCTATATTATTATTTCTGTCCCAGGTCGCGCCTGGGAATGAGGAAAAAGGGGGAGCCGTCCCAGCGGAGCTGCTTTTGAGATTCCGTGTATTCTCTGTGTTGTCGGATTGGATTAGCGCCCCCCGCCCGGACAGGCACCATAGCCCTTCTAAACTGGCGGGCTGAATAATGGCTAAACCTCATCGACGCATATGTGGTGGTCAAACTCATCATCATGCATATTTGACCACCACATTTTGATGTACCTTAATATTGAGGACTGATTCTTGAGCGAGGATCTTGCTTGCGACATATGGTCCCTCATGGACCCCGCACATGCATATGCACTCATGCACGTTCCACTCACTCGCTCTGTACCGTTGCTGCCCCCCCTACCTCATCTGCAGATCCTGTTCTTCCTTATCTCACTTTCTTACGGCATGTACACGTACTTCCACGCCGCCAAGGTGGGTGGTATGCTCGGGTGAGGCGTGGGCACCTACGGGCGCCTGCTGGCAGCGCCACCCGGTGGTGTTGATGTTGATACAGGGTGGTGGTACAGCTTCACCAGCGGCCCGCTTTCCCTTGGAGGCAGTTCCCTGCTCTCCCCTGCTAGAGGGGCACCCTAATCCGCTCACCCCATCCGACTTCAGAGTGTATTCTTTGGGTTCGGCAACTCACAACCAGCATACAAACATATCTAGCAGATAAACGGCGCCTGATCAGCTCACAAGTCGATTATGTCACGTGATACACCATCCACTCTAGGGGGGCCCGATTTCCCATTTCATCACCGGGAAGACACCCAAGGGTTCGGCAGGCGGATTGGAACCCGGGCACTCCGGGAGCAAAAGTCAGATATTAACCTCTGCCAGCCACCTGCCTTGCGGTGGTGTTGTCGTATGGACAGAGCATTTAGCAGCAACGAATGAAGGGCTTCTGGCTTAGCGGAAGGGAATGCCGAAACCGGCAATACTAGAGTATACAGCGTACAGCTGTGGTCTGCACACCTATACACGTGTACCCGTACAGCTGTACACATCCAACCATTTGCAGCCTAATGCGACCAGAGGTCAGCAAATCAATTTTCACGGCTGCGGGAGGGCATTTTTTTGGTCAGTAAACCTAAGAAAAATCCGAAGTCAAACACACCAGCGCGCGGCCCTACGGGCCGCAATAGAGGCTGCGAGGCAAATCACGTCTTTTGGTCAAACTTTGGTCATTAGGGACCCGCAGCCATACGGGGCCTGAAGCCGAATTTCGGCTGCGGGTACTGCGGTACGGACCCGCAGTACCCGCCTTATTTGCCGACCTCTGAATGCGACATACCATAATTCCATCGTACATGCCACAATGCCGTCGTAAATGTACGTCATGTCGTGCAGGTTTACATCGAGGCATTTCACACGGTGCCCAAGGGCATCTGCCGTGAGCTGGTGCGGGTCATGGCATGGACCTTTTTCGTCGCGTGGGGCATGTTCCCCGTGCTCTTCTTACTGGGAACTGAGGGATTCGGCCACATTTCACCTTATGGTAAGTCCTGCGGGATGAATGTACTGCTGCCGTACTCGCCGTACCGCAACCTACCACGCACCTGACGACTGACATTCTTGGCAATTCAGAGTCATGAGGTGTGGCCATAACCGTACTTGCCGTATACCTAATTCCTGCAGGTTCGGCCATCGGCCATTCCATATTAGACTTGATCGCAAAGAACATGTGGGGTGTTCTCGGCAACTACCTGCGTGTCAAGGTGAGCAACGGCCGATGTGCCGAAGGGGGGGGAGCTATAATCCTATACAGGAACTAAAGCGCCCCACGACTCCCTCACACCACACCTCCATCCATTGTGTTTATTTATTACGTGCTTAGTGCCACCTCTAGTGATTCATAAGGCGGCCCCTCCATGCTCTGGTCCAACTCTCTGTCTCGTCCACGTGTGTCCGCCTGTATGTAGATCCACGAGCACATCCTGTTGTACGGCGATATACGGAAGAAGCAGAAGATCACCATCGCAGGCCAGGAGATGGAGGTGGAGACTCTTGTGGCCGAAGAGGAGGACGACACGGTCAAACAGTCGACTGCCAAGTATGCATCTCGTGACTCGTTCATCACCATGCGCAATCGGTGAGCGAGTGCCGTACATTGCATACATTCGTACATATCTCGTTCATTGGCAACACCTAGATAAATCATTAAGGGATACGGAAAAACAATCACGTCTCACTCCCTTTTGACACATATACTTACCCCAGGTGATCAGGATTGGTACATCAACTTTGCTTTACCTCATTCGCATTCTAGAGTTTTAGCTCTTATATTTATTGCGCCGGCCCCTAAGGGTTCAGCACGTGCCGGGGAATCGGCACGCACAGCTGTGTGGCTTCGATCGATAGTTTTGGGTTATGTGCTTTGCTCCGAAACCTCTTCCGGGTCCCCACTCTGCAGCGGTAACCCTCATGTGTTCCCTCCTCGCCATCCCCCCCCCCTTCGGCAGTATGCGGGAGAAGGGCTTGGAGGTGCGGGCCTCACTGGATGCCGGTGGTGGCGACAGCGGTATGGAGGCCGGCGGTGGCGGCGCCGCACACGCCCAACCACACATGGCAAAGCCCGGCACGGAACTGGGCAAGACGATGTCCGCCAGCTTTACAAACGGAGCCGCCACAAGCTTGGAGCCGGGCCGGGTTATCCTGGCCGTTCCGGACATTTCCATGGTCGACTTTTTCAGAGAACAGTTCGCGCAGCTGCCCGTGCCGTACGAAGTCGTACCCGCCCTTGGCGCCGAGAATACCGTACAGCTGGTACAGCAGGCTGCGATGTTGGGCGGCTGCGACTTTGTGCTGATGCACCCGGAGTTCTTGCGTGACCGCGGACCCACGGGTCTGCTGCCACAGGTCAAAATGATGGGTCAGCGTACGGCAGCGTTCGGATGGTCTCAGATGGGCCCCATGCGCGACCTCATTGAGAGCTCTGGTGTTGGCGCCTGGCTTGAGGGGCCCAGCTTCGGCTCCGGAATCAGCCAGGCTGCTCTCCAGCAGCTGGTGGTGAAGATGCAACAGGCCAAGCGCATGGCGGCCATGGGTAGCATGATGGGTGAGTGATGGGCTGGACTTTGCCCGAGTGAGGATCCGTTCTCTGCTGGGTCCTCGTCCTCTTAGGGTTGACGGTGGAACACAACAGTCCTTAGATTCCTTTTGGGTTTTTATCCATTTCGGACAGCCTTAGAGCGGCGCTTGGGCCCCCTCCCCCTCAGGGCTCCAGGTATGTGTGGGGCCCAGGTTACACCTTTGGAGAGTAACGCAACTCCAGGCGTAACACAGATACATACACACGCACACACGTACAATAGCACCGACAGATGACATGTATAGTCTACTCACACATCCACACGCTTACACACACAGGCGCATAATCATGCTGTCGTGGCCTGGCTGTGCCCGTCTCGCTCACCGCCTTGCAGGTGGCGGCATGGGCAACGGCATGGGCATGGGCATGGGTATGGGCATGGGCATGGGTATGGGCAACGGCATGGGCAACGGTATGGGTATGGGCAACGGCATGGGCAACGGTATGGGTATGGGCAACGGGATGGGTATGGGCAACGGTATGGGTATGGGCAACGGTATGGGTATGGGCAACGGTATGGGTAACGGCATGGGCAACGGGATGGGTATGGGCAACGGTATGGGTAACGGTATGGGTAACGGTATGGGCAACGGTATGGGCAACGGGATGGGCAACGGGATGGGTATGGGCAACGGTATGGGTATGGGCAACGGTATGGGCAATGGTATGGGCAACGGTATGGGCAACGGTATGGGCAACGGTATGGGCATGATGACCCCAGGCGCCATGGGAATGGGCATGGGCGGCATGGGCAACCTTGCTGCTGCCGCTGGCAACGCCATGTACGGAGGTGGCGGCGGCGGCGGCGGCAGCACGATGGGCAGCGGCAATGCAGCCATGATGACGGGCCTGGTCATGGGCGGAGGCAACGGGGTTGGCGCTGGCCCCGGTGGCGTCGTAGCCAACCTGGGGAGCAGTGCGCTACAGCCCCAGTCCCAGATGATGGGCGGTGGCAACGTTGTCGGTGAGTGGACCGGGCCAGGCCAGGCCAGGCTACACCATACCATAGTGTCGGCTTGCGTTGTGGGGTAAAATCCGTTCCTGACTTACGAAACTTGGTAAAGCAGCGCCTGAGCCGGGCAGTTCCAGCCAGGACGGCAGGAGCATGTCGGCAAGCATGTCGTGGGAACACAGTGGTCTGGAACCGTGCCATACGGAACCCTAGATGTATCCAAACCTGATCCGTACACATCCTTGCTGATCGTTCTGTTTTGCATGCTGTTTCTCAGGCCGGACTCCACCATGCTTCTAGACTTGTACACGTACATGTGCCGTACGCTACTACCAGCCTCCGGCTATATGACGTCCTAACGGTCTCCTTCCCCTCGCACCTTACCACCCGACCGCCCTTTACCACTACCACTACCACCACCGCCCTGGCAGGCATGAGCTCTCCGCAGCTGCAACTGCAGCAGTCGTCGTCAATGCCCCTGGGTGGACTGGCCCCGAACCGTATCGGCAACAATCCCTTGTTCGGCGCCGCACCGTCACCTCTTCACTCACAGCCCGGTGCCAGCCCCACAGGATTGTCCTCACCGCAATTAGGCATGGGTGCGATGCTGCCCGCTGGTACCAGCGTCGGTGCCGGTGGCGGTTCAGTGGGACCGACGGAAACAGATATGCTGCAACAGCTGATGACCGAGATCAATCGCCTCAAGGACGAGCTGGGCGAGTAATGTCTGAGCATGTCTGGTTTCCTTTTTGAAAGAAGTAATTTGTTGGCTGCCAGAATTTGGGGAAGTGGTACGGTAGCCGTGGTGAAAATGACCGTTAGTAGCGCGGCGGCTGGACGAGCGCCTGTTAATTATGAAAGGTCGGGGAAAAAGCTACAAGTACGGCAAAAAGTACGGCAAAAAGTACAGGTCCATCTGATGGGTGCAAGGAGCAGGAATAGAGCTAGGTCCCTCCCGAGGGCGAACGGAGGGCCTTATGCTGATGACGCTCGCACGCTGGGACTGTATGCGTTCGTGTTACAAGGGTTTGGCGAACTGGCCCCCCATCGGCTTGTTGATATTATCTCGTACAGTATCGTACGCGTACGGCAGAAGATAGAAACCTTCGGCAGTGTGCGCGCACACGCGCACATCAATCTTCAATTGCGATGCGTGTCATGTTTCCGCACTACTCTTACGCATCCGTAGAGGAGTTGCGGGCTGAAATTTCGGAAGTTTACGGCTTGGCGTACAATCGTGTGGACATACTTTTGTTCGCTGTTTTGGCTGTTGCCCAGATGGTACAGCCGGGTACCTCGGTGCGTAGGGAAGTGTTCTGTGAGCGCTTCTACCGTCCCGCGTGAGAGCATCACGGAGCATCTAACCGTCTAACATCCTGATTAGGTGGCGTCTAGTAGTGCCTAGTTAGACATCGCAAGTATAATGGCCCAAGAACCTATTGTCAACCTTCGCCCACACACCCATGCGGCTTTACGATGCTCTCGATCACCTATTCCTGACGGGGTTTTGCTGTTATATTCATCTTCTTATTTGCTTTGAGGAATGGAACATCGTTCCGGTGACCGCGCCACCCTCGCGTTGGCAGGACGGAACATCGATCGCTTTCATGTCAATGAAGGCTCTCTATGATAAAGGATGCACACGAAGTAGTTTCATTTCAAAAGTAATAATACTGGTAAGTGGATAGTCGTCTGTCTTGTATGTTTTCAAATTTGAATTCATGCGCCCCGGTGTTGCCAACGCTTTCCGGCGGCAGCTACATGTCCGTGTGCGTGTTGTGGAACTGATTTGCCTCGGCCCATCTTGGCCTTACCCCACTCTACTGGGGGCCATAGTCCTGCCTGTTTCTAGCAGTTCTTGTTCCAAAAGCATCTAATTAATGTTTGTTTCACGCAATTTATGGCTGGAAAGTTACTTGCCTGGTTGGCTCCTTGTTGATACCTACATGCTGTACAGCAGGACCCTCCCAACCCACTAATAGAAATCATGTTGTTGATGATAATGATCATTATGATAAGCCCTGTGATGCGTGTGATGTACACACAGCAAACTTATATGTACAACAGAGAAGCAAAAAAGGGTTGGATGGCTAGACAAGCCCGGTTACCCGGCGGTCATGCTTGTACGGTGTGGTTGTATGATGTATACGTAGTGACGGCAGTTGAAGTCGTTGGTGGTTGGACTTGGTTGGTGGACTTGGTAGTTTGATGTCAAGCTTTTCCTTTTCCCTTCTGGTTGTTCCTCTAGGTTTAGAACATACTGAAAATCTGTTGTTGTATGTCATACCGGTACGGATAGTAGTGGCTGCTGCTTCGTGCTTTTCCTTCTCCATTGGCCGCGCATCGAAATGACAACAAGGAAGGTTCAGGGTCGTGTACAGGACCTCTTCTACCGTCTTCGGCTGTCCCGTTGCCATGTACCAGCATTACGGCTTGGATCTTGTGTTTTGTAAGTACGGCATAAGGCCCTCCATCCGGCGCCCGGCCATCTTCAGTTTTCCCCGCGGATGCCGATTTCCTGCACGAGACCCTCCCTCCCTCCTAGGAAGTTCGGCACTCGACGACGGGAGCCAATAATGATAATAATAATAATAATAGTAATAATAATGATAATAATAATAATAATAATAATAATAACAACAGTAACGGGTACATGGCTATGCCCCTATGCCCCTGGATCTGCTCCAGGACGCCCCCGACCCGGCGGCCCTTCTTGCTGTCACACCAGCTCTGCAGCTGTGAGGCTTCTCAAAAAGCCTCCATCGAGCCACCTGCCCCCCCCATCCGGACCGTGTTCCCGACGCGCGCCAGCTAACTTAATCACACCCCTGCGGCAACTTCTCCTTCATAAGATTACTGTAGCGGTAGCTGCTGGTGAGGCAGTATGGCCGTGCCGCTGCCGCTGCTGCTACTGCTACTGCCACCACGGCCGTGGCCAGCACCTCTTGTCACAACTGCGATTAATGCCGCCAGTGGCCAACTGTCGGGCACCTCCCTCTCCCGTGCCGCGCAAGGAACCGAAAGACGAACTTCACCCGGGGTCCGCCGGCTTTATAGCACACATCACAGCAGGCCTTGGCGGTGGGCGGTTAGGACGGCCGCTTCGATTCCCCCGGGGAAGGAATTCCCTCCCACCCCCGCCGTGACACACTTTCCCCCACGTCCCCCTACCGTACACATCCGTACCGTACATCTTGGCGGCATGCGACACACACTCGGAGATATGTAGTGTCCGGTTTGTTGTACTGCGTACGGCGTAGCGTGTACGGCATAAAGCCGAGCTGCATCCTTCTCTGACCCGAGTAATGCCGGTTGCCGAGCGCCGCGCCCTCTAGAGACACATACACATATACACATACACAGGTACACACACAGATACATAATAGGGTTAGGGTTTCATACGTGCACACACAACGTATGAAACCCTAAGTTAACCCGGAGGTGAGAGGACGCTTCCGCGGCAACGCGAGGGTGAGAGGGAGAGACCGCGGTCCGCTTCACCAGGGCCCCCAACCCGCCCCGCCCGCAGCGCCATCACCCGCTACTGCTACAGTCATTTCTCCTCAGCATGGCCCGCTGCCGCCTTGCTACTGCCGGTATTGTTGGCCCTGCCCGCTCCAGCCACCCCGCCGTCGTCGCCCTTGACCGCCGCGAAGCACAGCGACTGCATCGCGCCCGCACCCAGCGCCACCATCGCCTCATCCTCTCGCTACGGGCAGAGGTGCGGGGATGCCACCGCAAGGTTAGGTGGTTAATCAGGTAGTTGGTGGTTGTGGTTAAGCGGATATGGAATCGTACGGCACCGGGACACCATGGCAACACACCCGTACTCGTGCGCCCAACGAACGGAACCCCGCAAAGCGAAGACGCCCCTCTGGAAGGCATTCTCGCAACTCTCAAGAACTTCAAGATTTCCCCCCCTGCTTCCACTCCGAGCTTCCTCTATCTACAGCGAGGCTTGAAAATCAAACAACATATCACAATTTACAATTTAAGGGGGGGCCGCTGGTGAAGCTTTACCACCCTGTAACAACTTACGATTTATACAGGTATTGCAGCCTGGCGTGGCGCGAGTAACTCGTACACGGATAAGGACAAAGAACAAGAACAAACGCATAACGTTATATCAATTCACCCATCACTGCGTGTCGTACCTCTCCATCAACAACACTACTTATTACTACTACTAAGTAGGACTACGTCCCGCTCACCAGAGTCCAGGGAGGGAGACCAGAGTCCTTGATGCAGCGCTTGCATTTTTGCTCGTACAGCCTGGCCGTACACGAAGAAATAGTACGATAGAAACAGTTTGCAGTACCCGGTACGACATTGTTGCGAAATGATGAGATGGACTGGATGGAGGAATCTAGGCCCGCTTGTTGACGGCAACAACTGGTTGGTGTTGGGATACGGCACTGTACTACACACATGTACATCTACATACATACATACATACAGGCAGGTGGCTGGCAGAGGTTACGGGCTGACTTCTGCTTCCGTAGTCTCCGGGTTTAAAGCCGCCTGCCGACCTCTCAGTTGTTTGAGAGCTGTTGAAATGGGAGGTGGCCCCCCATCTTAACGCAACTCCAGGAGGTGTATAACACACATATTCAAATACATACAAACATACACAGCATTACTACTAGCGAGGAAGGGAAAGCACGAGATAGACTTTGCGCTATTGGCATCTTTTGTCCAAAAGAGCAGCTGCAGGCCTCTTCTGCAGAATGAACAGAGACAGCGACCGCAGCAACAGCCGCCATAAGAAAGAGCTGCAAGTACGACAGGGTCCCAACGGTTCCAGACACGCACCACAAAAATACAGACATACGTAGACGAACACGTAAATGCAACGTGGCTAATGCATGCATGCACGCAAGTACATACCTGTCGTACTCTGCCGTATCACCAGCCCCCGTCGCGATGACGAGCATGTACCGCGGCGGCATACCCTCCCACAGCCGCCGTAGCCGGCTGTCGTACAAGACTAACAATTGATCAAATACGGCATCCGAGTAATCGGGCGTGGCTACAGATCCGGGCCCAGGTCCGGTTGTCGGGACCTGCCGCATCATCCAGTCTGCCGTTCATGGGTGCCGTACATGACCCTGCCGCGTCAGCCGGACATCGACTTGGGTTTATTTTATTTGCCGTTACTGCTACGGCCTCTGCTGCTGCAGCTGCAGTAGCTGTAGCCGGAATCCGTGTCTTCGCTATAATCGTCGTCGTCGCCGCCTCCGCCGCCGTCGCTGCCTTGCCGCCGCCCTCCCTGCCGCCGCCTCCCCTGCCACCGGCAGCCCCCTCACCAGAGGCTTTCGCCCCCTCCGCCGCCTTCTCCTCCAGCCTAGCCTTGTGCCGCGCCCTGAAGGAGCCATACCAGCCACAAAGAAAGACAACCTGCTTACTCGTCACTGTTTGTTTGTCTGTCTGTATGAATGTTCATCGGGAGGACGCAGCCGGCGATTTCGTATTTCTTACCTCCAAAATCCATAGCTCGCTGCAAACGACTAAAGCGAATTCGACAAATGAAGAAGGTCAAAACATGGATCAAAAAACCTTTTCCCGATGCCGTTGACCAAAAAATATTTGGATTTGCCCTGAATTTTAAGGAGGAGGAAATCCAGATGATGCCTGAAGGGCACCAAGTGAAGAGGTCCACAAACCCGGAAGGAAAGAAAGAAACCAAGCCCGGTCTCAACAAGGCTGCGGAAACTGCGGCACAGC